TACATTATATTAATTTCCACAATGAATAAAATCATACCTACTTAAATAAATATACAATATGTACATACCTGAAATGATGCTGTGGCATAAAACCTTAAAGTTAATAAGACGGCTATTTCTGGGGTAATTGGAAGACCTCTGTTATTTACTTTTACCAATAAGTTTTTTATTAATGTTACAATATAGCCACTTCTTATTATTTAAATATTACCGCCTCTTGACCAATTCTGTATCGTTTTTTAAATTGTTCACTTGGTAACTTAAAAGGATCGGATGCATCTCTTATATAAATTTTTGGTAAACGATATCGCAAACGCCGTAAAATATCGTCATAGTATTCAATATCGTCGTAATAATTGATTTCTCTTAAAATATTTTCCATCTCCATGTCAACAGTAACGATCTCAAGTCACGGACTGCCCGCACTCTCATTTTAGCATCTCAAGCGTAGACAGAGAAACCTATAGACAAATTGACGCTATCTTTCGCATTCGCACACGAAAAAGATATATTTATGCATACGTCTTGCATAGAAATGAGATAGAGCGGTGTGATTGTTTGTCCCTTTCTCCGTGCCGGTTTTTTTGTTTAGCAAACTCTACAGTTTGCTAAACAACTTAGACAGCGTAGCGATTTAAGGAGTTTACAAGTTGGTGTAAGTGAGAAAAAAGTGTTTTGTGAGCTTAAGATTGGTGAATCTTGTTCAGTTCAGTTCTTAGAACAATTAAAATTTATATCTAAATGTGTTTAAAAGTCATAAAGATTATTGTATAACCTAAAAATTCGTTATCGTCCTTTCTCACTCGAGGCCACGCCGATCATTAGTCTATAGGTTTCTCTGTCTACGATCTCAAGCATATCTCAAGTACACACACTTAAGAGGCGAGTTTCGTTTATTAATCAGTACGTCACTCAGCTGATATCGTAAACCTAAGCCTTATCTTGAGATATGTTTATTAATAAGGTCATAAACTGAACATTGTACTCAAGTGCGCACCCGACCAGTACATTGCTGTGATTAGGAATGCATGAGATAAATTATCAATCATTTTAAGATGTGAAAACATTACAAGAAGAGTGGGGATACAATTATACAATAAATACAAATGGACAGAATGTTAATTGGAATGAAATAAAAGTCTTAAAAGTTACTAAAGAAAACCCTACCTTATTTTTCTTTAAGACATCATACAAAAATAAAAACTACAAGGACGTTAATGTAAGAAATAAAAGGAAAAAAATGAAACAAACGACAGAAATAACACTTCAAGGTGCCTATTAAACAAGAAATAAGTGAAAAAAGAAGAAAGTTTTAAGGGAGCTGATTTCAAAAGCATTAATCCCTTCTTTTTATGCAGGGTTTATAATAATATACTTTCAGTACTATAATATTTTTATGTTAAGTTTTAAAATCAGATCTCATTATATTTGATTTTTAAGTGTGATATAAAACCAAAACAATTTATGTTTAATCATGAAAAGTCTTAAAAACTTTTCACATAATATATTATTTTATTAATTTATAAATATTTGCGAAGATTTTAATTTTTGTTTTGTTTTGATTAATATGAATATATCTGAAGATTAACTAGAAGTTTTTACTTAATAATTGTATTACCGACAATACTTTGAAGTTGGTATTCACAGTAGTTTTTAAGTAGGTACCTACACTGAAGTATTCAGATTGTTTAATAAGACATCATTAAGTAGTGTAACTAAAATAATGTTTTCTTCTTAAATAATTAAAACGTGTAAACATAAAAATATTTCTTAATTTTATTAAAAATAACACCTACCTATGCAAATTATAGGTTTGAATTAAAAATAAGAAAGTAATTATTAGGAATATTTCGTCGATAATTATTCATGCCTATATCTCAATACTGCAAATAATCTAAATATTTCACATACTAACACGATAATTTTAATATAAAACTGCAATATTTTCAATTACTCCGTTTGCATCAAAATTATTCGATTACATATTTTAGTAAAAAGTGAAATAAGTAGGAACTTTTTTTTATTCTTGATCAAAATATAATAATTTTCCACCTCATTCTAATGCTTTGTTAATTAAGCTACACATATCTAATTTTGTAACTGACCAAAGCCATCTATTATTTTTTTTTATAATTTTTTGATGTCACCGATCTCAACATGTCAAACTTTAAATGCGATTTCCCACAAAACTGAAATTTTATGTTAAAATCAGTTTATGAATAAAAGTGCGAATGTTCTATGAAATAATATGTAGAACTAGAATTGATAAAATCTGACACATACAGAGCCTATAATAACTGAGAAAATATTATGAAGGTAAGTGGGTAATGAATTATATAACGGATTTTGTAAATAAACAGAATTTTACTAATTCAATTACTTATTTGTTTACATTTATCAGTTTAACTGACATATATGCTGAAGGTGGAAGTTGAAGGTTGAAGTAAATTTGAAGGGTCCAATTCTGATTGATGACATTGTTTTGTCACAATTGTCACAGAATTTTTGACAATGACAAGTTACGATTCAATGTCAAGTTTAATTGTAGTACGTTCAAGCTACAAAAATTAAAAATTTCATGAAAAACAAACAATTTAAATGCATGTTTAAAATAGTATTGAAATAACCTGTAATTGACCGGAAGTGAAGAAACTACACGATCAATACATTTATCTTTGCAAATTGTCTATGATTATTATTCAAGAAAATAAAAAATATTTATTTTACAAGTCGTGCTAGGTTGCGGAAGTTATCAAATAGATAGGTAATTCATAAACATTTTCCTTTGTCTAAAGGTGTTTCATATAACCGTAGGGCAAGAAATTTAAGGTAAAATTAAGCGAAAAGTGAAAAATACTAAATATAACTTAAAAATTAACAGGTTTGTCTATGGTTGTATTTTTTATAACAACACTGAAAATCGACAAACTATCTAATCAATTGGAGAATCGAATTATATTTTATTGAATAAATACAAATTATACATTTATACATTATTAGTTCTTAATTTTGTACCTTCCAACATATTCTGTCAAAATTTGGATTAGAAGTCTGAATTGAATATATTTAATAATTATTAAAATTAAAAGCAAACTTGAATTTTAATTTAAGCTGGACATTAAATAGTACTTGTTATTAAAAAAGCCCTATTAAGATAAATAAGATATAGCTTTAAGAGTCATGCTCTTTTGCAGGCTATTAAGAAATTAAAAATTTAGCTTTAGTTTTACTACATTAAAATCGTCATACAAATATACTTTACGTTTTGAAATTGTTTTAATATTTGTCATCCTAATACTTTTAGCCAAAGCTCAAACACGCTTGTAACGACAACTAATTTATTATTTACAATATATTTAAATATTCAAGTATGCTTCATTGTACGCCAAATTAACATATAGTATTTTATTAGTCATACTCTTCTATTACAGCCTATCAAAAGTCAGCTGCAGTACATAGGCCTTTCCCATAGGGAAAATTCCCTATAGGGAGGATTTCGCCATTGTTGCCATGCTTGGCAGGCGTGTTGGCAATCGCAGTTTTATATAATTTTAAGTTGTTATCAGAAAGATGCTGTTGCAAATCTCCTGTTCCATTTTTAGAAATAAGCAAACATTTTAAGTACTACCTTAAGAGATCTAAAGAGAACAGATGAACTTTTTAACACTTTCACAATCTTTATCATTTAGGTATCCTTTCCTCTTTAATTTTAAGTATGGAATGATTAAGGTATTAATATTGTGTGTGTAATAAAATAACAACTTTTTGGGTTAAGGACGGTGATTTTTATGAATTTTGGTTAGAATATTTATTTATGATAAAAAAATTGGCTACACCTTGAAGTGAGCTTCCTTCCATTTAAACATATTTCAAACCACCAAAGAAGATTAGTCAATTTTTAACATCCATCAAGTGTAATATTCTTCTACAGATGCAGGAGTGTACAAGCTAGATTATGAATGTGATCTCTCTTACATAGATAAAACAAAAAGATCTATAAAAACCTGTGTGAAAGAATATTTAGCTGACGTGAAGCACCAACGCTTTGGGAAGTCTGCAGTCTGTGAACATGTTCGCGAGCTTCTCCAACATTACATCAAATGAACAAGTCGTTGATGTGAAGCACCGACGCTCCGGAAAGTCTGAAGTATGTCAACATGTTCAATATCATCCCAACTATTATATCAGATTCGATAAACCACAAATCCTCGCAAAAGAACATTGATTACTACCTAGGGTGATACGCGAGGCTATTTAAATTTGAAAAAAACATCCTAATTTTAATAGAAAAGATGGATGGTGAAAATTAAATCCAAATCCCAGCATACCACTCTAAGACTTCAAGATACTGTAAGCTCGTTCTGCGTAGATTGAATCAAAAATTAATATTCAAAAGTTGAAGGTAGACGAGCTAACTATGACATTGGGACGTCAAACATCTCAGTCCCCCCGTGACCATGGGTGCTATAAAGCACCTGAAGCATCGGAAATTAAAAATAAGTTTCAATAAGTTAATTCAACTCGATAAAATCCATATATTATATAGTTTTGTTCAATGTGTAGTGTTTACGTAAATTTAGGAAATCATTAGATGATAATGGAAGTTTATAAGTTTGAAAGAATTAGTTCAAAATTGAAATTTCACATAAATTAGTATCAGCATATTAATTCTTTTCATTAAACATAATATTATCTATTCCAAGAGAGTCTTTCATTCGATTTTAAATCGATTATTATCGATGGAAGCGACTGATGTTGCCAGCTATTATTTTAATAGAAAAATTACATCACCATTTCATGGCACACGCATTTAAGACTTCGACTTTTCGTGACAGCATGTCATTTTCGACATTTGATTGATAATTTTCCAAAGATCCATCAAATTAGTTTGTTTGAAAGTTAGTTTAGGCGCTAAACTATAGTATTTTAATATTTTTTGTATAAACAACGATGTGAGATATCGGACTCCATATTTGGAGGTCGCGGATTAAGTCCCCACAATGACCGCTCAAAAGTGTGTGGTGGAAGGCTGTAATTTAGAGTATGATGTGATTTGCAGCTTTTCTTTTTACAAGTAAGTATTTTGATGGTTTCTATTACCTTAAATTTATTATTTTCGTAACTGGGTTAGTTACTATTGATGCATTGATTGCGTACATTCCATGACCTCCGTGGTAGCTTTATGTATTTCTCGGTACTAAGCTTTGTTAGTTTTGAATCTAATTGGATGTTTACCTTTGGTTTTTTTGACTTATCAAAATCTCCCTAATAATGAAAAGTTATTTTATCAGGGCATTATGTTCATCAATGTATTTTCTTTATCATAAATATGTGCGTAAATTTATTTTAAAGACATCTTACAGATTTATTCAAATGTTTATGATAATACGTATTCTTTATTTACATAAAAATAAAGTCATTTTTGAATGTTTGGTTTGTGTAAGTGGTAGTGTTATATATCATTTATTTAATTACTATTGGGTTTGTGCAACAGAATATGTTACAATATAATAGAAGAACTCTTGTTAAAAACTTGGCACAGTTTCAGAAATGCATCTTATATTCATTTTAATGTTGTTTATTTTGATCAGTGGTTGTTGATTAAATTTTAAGGTGGTGCCTAAGGAGCAAGAACTGTGTGTATTTTATACAATGTTTATGTTATAAAGAATTATTATTGTCTAAAAATATGACTGGAAACTATAGGATAAATCTCCAAAAAAGTGTTGCTAAGCAAAACTATTGAGATACTTTTACAGTCTATTAAAGTCCACTACTGAATGTAGGGCTCCCCCATAGATTGCCTCATTGCAGGGATATTTGCCATAGTAGCCACGCTTGGCATGCTAGTTGACGACTGCATTTTTTATTTTAATTGGTATTGGGAAGATGCTGCTGCCCATCTCTTGATTTGTATCCATTTGTCGCCTCTTACGACACCCATGTGATGGTATGGGATAGTGTAACTTTAATTATATGAAATTGAAACGACATACAAACTTAAAGTCCGCCTTATGGTACCACAGCCCATGGACACAAGTAACCAACTTCAAAGAAAGTTATAAATGTACCATAGGAGGTGACTACGAGGACTAAAATAAAATGGCTCACAGTCTGTAATTACACTGTCTGGTGCTTGGTGACTTCATTGGGTAAAAAGGTGATATTCATCTAGACAGATTCTGAGACAGAAAAAAGTCCTGTCTGGGAATAGTGTTAGTAAAAGAAATAAGTTCATGAAATATGTCACCATATGTTCAGGGAGGTACACATTACCTTGCACAGGAATTACAATAACATAACAATTATTTAAAGTGTGAGTTAAGCTGAAGTATACATTTAACAGGTTGAGTTTTACATTTAATTTTATGATTTTTTTCATGACATTTAATGTTTGACTAAAAGAGTGTCTACACTATACATAAAAAATGGACACCCTACTTTAGTATGTATTTATAAATATTCAAATTATATCCCATCTTTACTGTTTGTCTCTGACTCCGGTTATGTTTAGTATGTTCAGTTGTTGGTTATGTTTTTAAGGTCATTTTCTTATCAGAATCAAGTACTAACTAATCTTATTCAATATGTCTAATGCCTAAGTACTCACACGAATAGATGAAATAGTAATCATTAAAATTGAACCACAATAGACAAAGATATTGAGTAATTATGTACAAATAGGAGACGCATAGAGATCCTTTTTTTTTTTTTGAAGTATGCTAATAATATGTTAATACTTAGAATATTTATTAGAAGGCAATAATGCTTTCATCAGCTTAATCAGTTTGCTGTTACCTAACAGTGAAATATATTTCCGAACATCAGTATATATGTAAGGAGCTATATTAGAACAGAACGGAATAGAAACTCTTTTATTCAATGTAGATTATAAACAATACTTATTGAAAGTCAATTTTTTCATTTACTTATTTATTTATTTATTTTTTTATAAAAATATTAGTAATCTTATTAATTAACATTACTAATATTCCTTTTAACCACTCCTGGTAAGCTTGAAAAATGCTTGTGTTAGGAGTGGTTCACGACAGTAGTCAAATGGCGGATTCGAACCCACAACCTTTTGAGTTAGCAATCCGCACCCTGCCATTAGGCTACTGTCGCTTCAAAAACCTCTGTCCTGGGAAGAACCAGCAAGAAACCCAGCAGGACTTCTTTTTCAAATAATAGCTTACAATCATGTTTACAATTAACAACACAAGACAATGATTTCTTATATTTACGCAAACACTATACATTGATTAAAACTACTTTTACGGATTTTATCGCGTTTTATTTATATTAATTTTAATACCCGACGTTTCGGGTGCTTTCCAGCACCCATGGTCACGGGGGACTGAGGTGACTGACGTCCCAATGTCAAAGTTAACCCGGAGTACCTTCAGCTTTTTAATTATTGTCTTTGGTCCGATCTACGAATAATGAACTAACTGTATTTTGAAGTCTTGCAGTGGTAACTAAACCCAAGCATACCTGTTACTCCTCACAATAGCCACGGCATGATATAGTGTAGTGGATTGTCTTACTCTGCCACTACAGATTGATAAGATAAACATGCTGAAATATTTTAATATGTAATGAAATAAATTTAATAAGGTGATTAACAAAATTGTATTACATGTTCGTTTGTGTTGGTTGTGTTTCCAGTGTGAACACATCAGCAGAGGGTGATGTGCAAAGGCAGGAATGGATTGAAGGGGCGATGCAAGAGGAGAGCGAGTGTCTTTGGCGACATGTCAGCTTGCAACTTTGCGGGTATAGTACATTGCTATAATAAATATACTACTAATCTATTTAATGTATGTGCACAGAAACATAAATAGTTTTATTAAAATTATGAAGTAGCTAAACTAAGTGACGCAAATATGAGTCTAAAGATAACTACATATTTGTCCCATTTGCTGTAAACTGTTGGTCCGTGGGTTCCATGTGCAGTAAAGTTCCTAAAGGAACTGTATCCATGATTGGTTGTGTCACTGCTGATGATAAAAGGGCTGGTTCTTTTCGCGCTCAAACGTTAAGTATAGTCATTCAGCTAGGGAACTCAGCAGCCAATGGTAAAAGCGTTAAAGACTCAATAAGCATTCTTGTAATATATTATAAAACAACAAAAATCTATTCTATTCTAGTCATTATTTTGCAGAACGTTGGTTGGAAGTTGGAAGGTCTTTTATCTTTAAATGTAACAATTTTTTCTCCCAACTAAGAATTATGTTTTGTGCTTTTCAAAAATCAGAGATCTGAGCCCAGCAAGGTGACATCTACTCTGTTACTTTACTACCAACCTTTAGGAAACTTCATGTGTTGGAATGTTCTGATAGGTGGTGGTACATCCTCTCTCTCAACAAGGATTCGGAGTTGCTGTCTGATTAGATCATTCTTCTCTGGTGGTCGCTCAAGAATGCAGCGAGGTGGTTTCCAAGAAATTTTAATAGGTTCTTCATACTGTATGCCTATAACGAAGTTACAATGGTTAAACATAGATAACAATGTTACTTGCTGCCCATTTTTTTATAGGATAAGGGTGACAAACGAACACACAGTCTGCCTGATGGTAAGTGGATGCTGTGGCTCATAGACATCTACATTTAACCTTGATTGAGAATCAAAATGCAGATGCGTTGTCACCCTTGAGGATGCCTTGATTCCAGTAAAACGAGTCTCCGGTTCTCTACACTCACCATACGAAACACAGCAACATTAAGCTGCTATTTTACAGTGGTATTCTGTGAGTGTGTGGTCCTTCCCCGGTCGAGCCAACCCATTCATGCTATAACCATAATATTGTTGCAGTGTGGCAATTGAAAGTATACTCTTTAAAAAAGTAGCAATATTGTTTGTAACTCATTGAATTACACGCAACACAAGTTTGCTAGTTAGTCACCACATCAAAATGCAAGTAAAAGTCCACTCTCGCCCATTGCTCTCAAGCAACTGTTTTACCTCACCCTCTTGTGCATGTATACAGATTTACAGATTTGATATACCTATTGTTAGCCACTGGCACTGGCACTGACTTAGGCCTTCTCACAAAGGAGAGTTTGCCACAGTTGCCATGTTATTATATTTAGTTGTAATCAGGTAGGTAGATATTGCCCATCTTGTTTTAGTTTTCCTTTGTAGCCTCATACTACACTCACGGGGTCATATTTCCGCGTAGGAGTTTTCTTCCGCGTACGACCTCTCTGTGGAATAGTTTACCACCGGCGATTTTTCCGGACCGATACTACCTGGGGACCTTCAAAAAAAGAGCTTACTCCTTTCTAAAGGGCCGGCAACGCACCTGCAATTCCCCTGGTGTTGCTGTTGATCATGGGCGGCGGTAGTCACTTAACATCAGGTGAGCCGCATGCTCGTTTGCCCCCTCTTCTATAAAAAAAAGAAATTTGGTAGTGGATATTATATCGACGTCACTACACAGCAAACTAGTATAGTATTGGGATACAAGAAACACTGCATTGGTTAACTAATATTGGAAATATTCCAATACATATAAAAGACTTGAAGACTCGGTCTTTGACATTTAATACCATCAATATCCGCTATCAACATACGTACATAGACTACTTCGTTGGCCTAGTGGTTGTTAACGCGACTGCTGATCATAAGGTCCCAGCTTCGAATCCTAGGTTGGGCCAAAAAAAAATCAGTTATCAGGTTTTTCCGTCAAGAAATTCTCAGTACAGTTCTGAGAATTTCTTGATGGAAAAACTGTGAGTCAGAAAGGAGGTATGAAACATTTTTTAAATGTTTTTGTTAGAACTACCATTTCGATTTGCCATAATTGCTGTTTTTGGCAGACAAATTGGTGGCCTTTGACGATATATCGCAGGCATAATTTTGCAACTCCCATATAGATGAGATTTTTATTGTTAATCCCTAAGTTGCCTCTTACCACACCCACAGAACGACCACTCGGCTTCATGTTTTGCATGGAAAAGTGTTACAGATGTTTGTCAAATATGCAAACGTTTGTGAACATGATTTTCTAGAAATGTTTTATTAGTGCAACTCATGATTTTACACGCTTAAGACTATTTTATTTAGGTACCATTTCGAACTGGACGCACAAGGCCTCTGGATTGACTCGCCAATGCTGCCTGAACTCCTCACCCCTCAAGAGCAGACAGCAACATTGGTCCAGTCAGAAAACGATAAAAAAGGTATTTGCGACAAAAACTAATTCATCATATATCAATTGTATTGCTTGATTTAACATCATAAGTAAGTCTAATAAAAAGTTAAACATATTTGGATAATAAATAAAGACTGATATATCATATAATTTTCTAATATTACTCGTTCCTATAATTGTTATTTTAAAATTTCATTTACATAAATTAAGTATCAATTATATCAGTCTCTTACTATTGTTATGTGGTGAGAGAGAGAGATCAAGTTTTTTTAACTTTCAATAAATTTTTATAAGTAAGACCGAATGTGTTTGTATCATTTTTTTAATACCGTTTTGAGTGTTGTTATTAAAAGCTAAGTTTTACATTAATTTATTCATAAAACTAGTGTAAGCTTGGCTTTTAAATTCATTACATCCTATTAAAGTCCACTTCTGAACATAGGTTTCCCCATGATTGTCTCATATGGGTAATATTTTTCATATTTGTTACGCCTGGGAGACGGGTTGTTAACTGCAATTATTTATTTTATGGTTGGTATAAGAAAGACTCTGCAGCCCATTTTTTGGTTTGTTTTCCTATGAAAACAATATGGAGTAGTGGATATTCTTAGTCTGCTAATACACGGCTTATATAACTTGTTCTAATGTTGGTAGCTCCATAACATGTTTTCTATATATATTAGGATGGTATCGTGTCTGCTAAGTAGTATAGCTTAATAGTTACCACTACCAACACTATGCAACAGTACGCTTTTGTGTTCTTGTTTGAAAGGCACGGGAGTCGGTACGGGACGGCTATTAGGTAATCCATCTTAGATGTCAGGGAACAGGCTACTGCCTTCCTTGTTTGTACTTATAAGCAAGCTTCTTTATCATCATTTGAAGTGCGAGAATATTCTTGTTAAAACTTCATAAAAATATATTTACATCTTGTGTGCTTGTTGTGTCTTGTAGCCATAAGGTCCCTCCAGGAGCTAGGATGGCTCGAATAGCATCAGTTTCTGCCTAAACGCAATATACACCCTCAACCATGCAGTTGCGTCATCCGGTCCACTACACACTTAAAAATAACATGTGTCTTCTCCTATTTGACAGGATAAATGCTGCCCTCAGAATATTTTTATGTTCTATTTACACGGGTTCGTCCAAATGCGCGTTTAATATTCTGCAGTAGTGTTAATAATAAAATGAGCCGGTTATGCTATTCTAATAATTAATAAGAAATTCTTTTTGCACTACAGTTAAATATATTTTTAATTAACCACAATTTTTATAGCGTAATTTACCATGTTCCGAGCACTTTCGAGTCCCTCGTGGGCGAAATGAACTTAAAATTAAATTAAAAAGATCTTAATAAAATTTTCACCACATACAACAAATCAGCCTACATTGTCCCATTGTTATGTTTTAATTTGAGCTCATAGTTCCCAAAATATAAGTAAAGTTCGAAAAGTTCATAAACCATGCTTACAATCTGATTTAGTGTACATGTGCTGCCTAACCGTATTTGACATTAGCAACTTTTTGGGAAACGTCGGCGATTGTATTCTGGCTGAAAGTTATCATCTGGACTCCTCAGAATGGTAAATTGCTAATCTTTTACTGCCAAACATGGAGAGTAGAACTTTGATAAAATGTCACAGGCTAAAATTAGGTTACCTATGTGATAATAGAGGAATACTCGTGTCCAATTTTTGCTATTGAGAACCTGCCTGGAAGGATTGTTCGGTCGCAGTAGCACACTGAATAAACATTTGGCTGCGGGTCGCAGGTTCGAATCCCGCGCGGAACAAGTCTTTGCATAGCAAGCATATAATTCTTTCGGACCTGGATGTTTGGTGCTTTCGTTGAAAATATAAAAGATAAATATGAAGGTATTCTTTGACATTGCAATCACCACATCTAGGCCGTATGTGATTTATGAGAACATTTTTAAACTAATTTGAAACACCCTGTATAAGCTAGTAGCGAGTGACGGGCGCTTGTTACAGGCGCGGCGGCGGCGCCGGGCGGCTTCCTCGCCATTTACGAACGGTTCCTAAAAGGCCCGCCTAAAGGTAACGCTGCTTACTTATACAGGGTGCTCGCTAATAGGGGTAGATAGGTCTCTTATTAGAGTTATTAGAGTTGTGATAGTTCATTTACTAAGATCTGCGATCACAAGTAAAATAGTGTGTACAACCTCCCATAATCACTTACAATGTTACTACCACCACTAAACCCAATACTATTTTCTTTTTGCAAGTGGGTTGTGCTCTTCAAACTAAGAATAGGCAATATACACCATTTTATTTTTGTGCAAGGATCTATGTACTTAATTTCCTTAAAGTTTATTACTTGTTTATTAGAACTTTAGTAATTATTTTTTTTGTAACAAAGTATATTATGTAGTAATTAAAGAAGCAATATGAAAAGTGTTTGAATACTTAAATAACTATTACCTAATATATGTAACTAATGTAGAATTAATGTAGAAATTAAAAGAACATTGAAAATTGTTTATATAACCAAAACATTATTTATTTTATATGTGATAGAGCCTCGCTTCAGCTATATTTTGGTTGTAGCATGAATGAGCCGGCCCGACTGGGGCAGAATACCAACGTAAAATGGCAGCTTAATACTGCTGTGTTTCGTATAGTGAGTGTAGAGAACCGGAGACCCGTTTTACTGGAATCGAAGTATTCCGTCTTAGTCCTCAAGGTTGACAACGCATCTGCATTTTGATTCTTAATACAGGTTAAATGTAGATGTTTATGTGCCACAGCCATCCACCTACTATCAGGTGGAGTGTATGCTCTTTTGTCACTCTTATCCTATAAAAAAGAATATCTTGGTGGTAGGATTCCGGTTCTGCCAAAGAGTCAGTCTGGGTAGGTCCACTCCGCCAAGCAGCAGTTTGTTGCTGTCCCATTCTGAAGGGTATACAGCCAGTATAATTACAAGCATTCCATCTTAGTCCTCAGAGATGACAATGTCTCTGTAGTTTTCTTTGTTGGAAGCTGGCTGCAGGTGTAGTCATTTATCATCAGGTCACTTATCATCGCTTGTCACTTTAGTTTTATAAGTGAAGTTAACGTTACAAAACACAGCATAAAGTAACATAATATAACTCTCGGATTGATCTGCTGTGGTATTTGCGAGTGGTGGTATACAGAGTTTGAGACGTACGTTTATGAAACAGTTTATGTATCGTAGGCCCGGCGTAGATCCACATTGTAAACGGATGGAAAGTTAGATATTAGCGAAATTGACAATCGTTGTACGCATGAGGAATGACGAAGCAAACCGTTTGGTTGGAATGCGTGATATATCGACCGTACAAGGATGAGGACTGCCTGAGTTTAGCTCGAATAAGTGTTTGTGCTAGCTCGTTCACTTATGGGCACTATAATATATACTGCGTAGTTGACAATTTTCGACTGTTTTCGAATGTTGTCGTCAATGAAGTCTTCAGTATTCAGGTTATCATCGTAGGATGCTCAAAGATGTCTCTGTCAGGGATTGAACGTTTCAAAAATAACCGGTACGGAAATACTTTCTACAATCAATAACGCTCATAGGTAACTATAAAAATATAATGTTGAGTCATGTCACTCAATATTGATTTCAGTTTTTTATAGTTATCTATTTCCATTAACGATAGAAAAAAGATAATCAGCTGAAACTGAAAACTAAATGAGAGAAAATGAAAGAGATGAGAGGTTAAATAAGTTTTTAGAGTTTGTTGGTAAATAAAAACAATATAGTTAGTTATAATGTAGTTCTTTGTCATATTCATATGTTGTGGTTCAAGTAATATTGAAAAAATAAAGCTAAACTACAATGTCATGTAGATATTCCCTTTCGACATCAAACCTAAAGAATTATGTTTTAAAACTCGTATTTTAAAAACGATATCTTAACAAGAAACATATCGAAAAGTAGAATCTGTATTACAACCTAAATACTAAACATCTTAGTTGAAGGTAGCGAGCTAACTATGACAGGGACTAAACATCTCAGTCAAGACAAATTAGAAATAGCTTGGTCGGAGAACCGTAACGAATTTGGAACGAGATTACAATCCACGGTCACCCAGTCCCTGCTCTCAAAGTTATAGAATCTGTTGTTGGTTTTAGTTGCTGACATCATTCGAATGGAGCACAACTACAGCATTGAACCGACGAAGAAGGAGGTCGAGAGTGTATCCAGACTGAATGTACGACAACTGGTCGATACCTTAGGCTACTTGTAAGTACATGATAATACTTGGGTTACTTGTAAGTACATTAATATATTGGGTGCGTCTGGCAGAAAAAAGCGCTAGCAAGCACTTACAAGCGCTGAAATAGTTTTCGGCCAGGACACGATTGCTACTTCAGTAGCGCTGACACAATCCGCCATTTTGCTTATTTAATTTGTTTGTTTTGAAGTAAAGTTTATAAGTTGTTTTTAGCATATTTGTTTTAAGTAATATAAAGACATGAATAGACATATACATGTTATTAAAAATTCATGATTGGTAAGTTTTTAATATGAATACTTCACAAACATATATTTAAATTAGGTTAGGTTCCCCGGTTAAAACTAGCATCGTGTCCTAGAGGAAAATAGCTACTTACGATTTGACAGCGCTTACCGCTTACGATCGCCATTTTGCTTACAAGCGCTTGCTAGCGCTTTTTTCTGCCAAACGCACCCTATTATGTTACTTTTATATCAGTTAAGATGGATAGGCAGACAGACATATATATTTAGTATTTTTGATGTAACATTAGTTGATGTGTTTCCTATATTTTTTTTGTGAGGGTAGTTGACATTTATCTCAATGAAAATACTTTTTGCAAGTTGTAAAAAGTAAGAACAAAAGTGATTTTGTAGTTTTAGATTTTGTAGCTCTTAAGCAAATAAACATATTATTTGTATGTCTTTTAAATAACTAAATCCAATTTAACTTATAACAGAAAATTCACCAAATTCTGAGATGGTTAACTATTGTATACGAATTTTGTTAGTATTGATATTCATTTTGAATCAATTAATGATATCAGGTCGCTGAAGAATTTGCAGAAGAAGCAGCTGTGGGTGGTCAAGGTGGAAACCGACAAGGCTGAAGCCTCCATCACACAGTCCGAGCAAGTCATAGCCAAGATGCCTGATCCAAAGCAAATAATTGAGGTAAGTTATATCTCAAGGCTAATCAGAAACTATGAAAATATAAGTAAAGGTCGATAATGTTTGTAACATATATATACATATGGCTCAATGGACTTAAAAGTGTTGTTTCGATTTACCGTAATATCTGAAATATTATAAGCTACATTACAATGAGAACAGGACAGTCAACAATGACGTCTCTCCCATTGCCTGATATTGAAAAATTGGGATATATATTATATATATCCTAATTTTTCACGTGGTAGAGCCATACTACAGCTATATTAGTAGTATTGTAGCAGGAATGGGTCTGCTCGACCGGAGAAGGACAACGCTCTCATAGAATGCCAGCGTAAAATAGCAACTTAATGCTGCTGTGTTTCATATGGTGAATGTAGAGAACCGGAGACCCTTTTTACTGGAAACGAGGCATTCCATCTTAGTCCTCACAAGTGACAAATCTGCATTTTGATTCATAATCGAGGATAGATGTAGATGTCTATGGACCACAGCGACCACTTATCATCAGGTGAACTATGTGCTCGTTTGTCACCCTATCCTATAAAAAAACTATATGGGTGATTTTTTAACCATCTCGAAAAGAATAGGGTGAAACAGGTGAACGGAGTAAAAGCCTATAAAAACAAGTTAAAGTTACAGCCTATATACGTATATAGCACGGATAAAGGAGGCCAATGCCCACTGTTGGGCATTGGCCTCCTTTATCCGTGCCGGCGGGGATCGAACTCGGGTTGCTCGCGTAATGTGACTTTACAGCGAGCGCTAACCATCTGAGCTACACAGCTCTACAGAATATATAGAAGCCTATGGCACTGATATTTTACAATTTTTTTACTTTTAATGAAATTGATCTATCAATAAATGCTACTGATTTGAAATAAACTTTTGGTACTAAGAAAATAATTACTGTTATCAGGAAAATGCTGCTGCCGATCTTCAGCTTCTTTTCCCTCTGCTGCCTCTTACGAAATCAACGGGAACAAAATGCGGTAGTCGGTTCTCGTGCCCACGTACCCCACCACCACTGCACTTCATCATCGGCCTGTAAAAGCCTCCTCCCCTGTATTCGAGATATAAGACATTTGTCTTAATCTTGCCGTGTGGTGGCGTCTAAGAGGATCAAATTATTCCAGGAAGAAACGGCGGCTCACGTGTTGCTGACATGTCCACAAGTAGCTTTATACAGGGCTAAACATCTCGGCACGCCGGGATCGCTCCCCGATGTTGCTTGCAACATCAAAGGACTGTTGAACTTCTTCGGGGAGATATCATGGCTCGAATAATGACATTATTCCTGCACGCAAAATATGCGCTTAGACGTGGAGTTGAGAAAAACAGCCCGTCGTAAAATAAACGGTTTCGTAAGAGGCGACTATAGGATAGGCCAAAAAGATCTTGTGGCTTCTTAACCCATCTAATTTCCGCTAGGTCTGAATAAATCAGCGTTTAAAGATGCATGTCTAGTGCTGCTATTTATAAATTATTATATGTGGTAGAGCCACGCTACAGCTATATTATGGTTGTAGCACGAATGAGTCCGCTCAACTATGGTAGGATCACCTTCTCACACAATACCAGTGTCAAATAGCAGCTTTTTGTTGCTTTGTTTCGTACGGTGCGTGTAGAGAACTGGAGACCCTTTTTACTGAAATCGAGTTTCAGAGAGCTCCGTCTTAGTACTCATGGGTTACAACACATCTACATTTTGCAGATTCTTAACTGATGATAGATATGGAGTCTATGGGCTACAGGAACCACTAACCATTAGGTGCATTGCGCTTATTCTACAAAAAAATCTGCTAAGCTATAATATATTTATTATATATTATATAAAAATCCCATGCATGCGCCCGCCATATCCCGAGCGTATGTATTGGACCGCACCCACCCACAGCAATTAAAACCATTAAAACTTATATTTAGAGACTACTTTTCTATGAAGAAGTTTAGCATTATAAAATCTATACAAAATTCTCTATTTTGTGGTCTAAACAAAAGTCAGGTTTTACTTCATTAAAAGCGAATGTCGGCAGCGTGAAAATCACAATTATCTCAATATATTATATTACTCTAAATTATTTACTTAAAAAGATAAATTATATTCACACAAAAACTTTCATTACAATTTTATAACACAATAACTAAAACACTATAACACTATACTAAAACACTAATAAAACACTAGAAAAATACAAAAATCAACACAATAACATTCACGTGAAAATGGCGTACGAAATGAACGTAGATTATAAATATTCATAGGATAACAGTTCTTTTATTGCATTAGAGAGATAGAGTATTTCATATTGATTATATAGCCAAACTTCATCATAGAAAAGTAGTCTCTATTTATAAGTTTTTATGGGTTAAAGTGCTGTGGGTGGGTGCGACCTCATGAGACCACTAGGGATTTGACGGAATATGGCTTCGGTCTCATGAGACCGCTAGGGGGTTGAGAGGTTAACAATATTATTTTTTATTGTTTTATGTTGGAACTATATTTTGTTATATTTTCCTAACGGTAAAATAATAGTGTCAAATATTCCATGTAAAAGTGTGACACCAGTACCTTCTTACAGTACTACCATTTGTGCTGAAGCTATAGCAGAGTTGCGGCATGGCTCTACCATATATAAAAATTTTAATGATCCATTCGCGATTGAGGAAACGCAGCCAGCATTATTGGCACTTATATTTCGGGGGTAGAACTGTATGATATAATTTAAGTTTAGTGTTTTTATTATATTTCATTTAAGTTTAGTGTTTTTATTATATAAGCAGCTGAATTTTATTTGAGAGTTCTCAGCCTAGACTATTTGGCTTCAATGATAATGAGAAAAATTAATTTCCAGATCATACCACAGACATCCACATCAGAAAGCCTCGAAAACCAGAGCGAAGTTCTCCACATAATGGACGATGGCAATATATCAGACAATTTTATTTACGAGATAGCGGAGGAACAGGAGATAACTATGGAAGAGGTCAAAGAAATACCGGTTACTGACAATCGAGAGTGGACGGTAAACATAATACCCGAGGAGACCAAGCCGAAATACGCTTATATTAAACATTGTAATACGGGGAAGAAAAAACGACATTTTACAACAGAGATGAACGAGATAACACTGCAAGGAGACTTTGAGAACTATTATATTTTACCCGATGTCGACCCGTCTGTCGGGGTTGAAATTACAACCAGTTACGAGCCAGAAAATTATATAGTCGAGGAGTATGAGCATTTAGTATTAGAGGAGAGACCTAGGAAGAGGTCCAGGGATGGAAACGACGTGGTGAGGAAAAAGCGAAAGAAGATTACACCATCGGTGAGGGAGCAGGTCAAGCAGATACAGTTAAAAACGGAAATGGGTGAAGATTGGGTCATTGACAACAGTGTGTATGACCAGGATACATCTGATGACTACGATGATAAAAAAGGATCCAGGGTGAGACGAAAAAATAAGAAATACCTAGGCTATGACTTTGTAACCTAACTGTAACCTCAATCAATGTATCACTGTTCATTGAGAATGTACATTTTTATTGGTTTTTTTTTTCTCAAATATGTCGGTATTTGGTTTTGTCAGCGAGTGTTAAAAATCGGTATAGTTAAAGGTTTACTCATCTTTATATAGTTGTGTGATATCAAAATGCCTTATAAATATGTTCCTCGTTATAATTACATGCGTTTCAAAACGATGGATTTCTTCATTTAATCTCCCTTGAAGTGTTAAAATTAGTTATTAGATAGGCCAAGTGTGTTTGATTTACTAAACTGTTTGCTGAAATACAGCTGTGGGTGATTTTGTGCAATATTTATTAAGAAATGGCTAAATATGCTATTAGTGATTGTGTTTGTCAACCAACTTCAATCTGCGGGGTTACGAAGTGACTATATAGAAAGTTATAAAACTGAATTGGATTACATATCTCAATGTCACTTTATATTAATTTCATCCATTCATAATCAACTTCAAACTGAGGACATATTTGTTTGACTCTGTTCTTTTTGTGTGCGTGTTACTCGATATCTTTGTTCCTTGTGAACCTAACTCAACTCTTGCTAACCTAACCCAACCTAACCTAAGTGATGGTTTTATTTAAATATGAAAAATAAATTCCACCCCTAAGAGTGGAAAATACATCATAAACACTCACGCCTGTCACCTAGAGGGGTAGGCAGAGACTACAGACATCCTGACTCACCTCTCTCGCCTCCTCCACATCCACATACCTACATGCTCGTCAGTAAAGGGTACTCTTAATTTGGCCTTTTTTCAGTATATCGCCAATCTGGTCGATAAACTTACGCCTAGGATATCCCTTTCCGAATCTTCCGTTCACTTCTGCAACATACATGTGCTTGTCACTCTTTCCTCATTCATTTTTTCCACATGACCAAACCACCGAAGCATTTCTTTCTTAATTCTGGTCACAACATCATCTTGCAAACCACACTCCTCTCTTATTACAGAATTTCTCACCCTGTTACTCATATTCAGCCCTAACATACTCCTCGCATTTTCTACTGCGTTTATTGTACTCGTGCTTCTTCTGCTGCACCAAACTTTCACTACCATACATTAAAGTAGGGACTAACACAGCATTGTGGAATGCCATATGTGCCTCTATTGACACATTCTTGACTTTTCACAATAGATTGTAAAGCCCCATTTACTTTATTTCCGGCGTTCATGCTTCATTCTATATCCTTATCATATCTCCCATCCCTGGTGAATACAAATCCCAAATATAAAAAATCATCTACTTGGTAGAGTTTGGAAAAATAGGGAATGAAGTTTTTAATCTATATACTTAGCTGATATTCAAACTTGTGTTATGCCTTTATTCCCCTTACAAGGGTCAAAATAATTAAACTTTTAATTAGAAATTAAAAGCTAACTTTAAAGAATATATAACTTTCATATATTAGTTTCAAATTTGGGGCTTTAACTTAACACACTATTTTAGTCCTGGTTTCTGAAGCTGTTATGTGGAAATCTTTTTATCATTTTTAGTTATTTTGAGTTAACTTCCACTTTTCGTAACTATATTTTAGTATACTTTTATTTTTATAGTTTTCTACCAGCATTAAGAACTGAACAAAATAAGTCAACTTTACTAGCCTCGCAGATCTCTTATCCCTAGATTGGTCGTAAAGGGGGTTGAAGGGTTTTCTTATACCTCTCACACATTAAATCTAACAATATTGGGGGTTCATAAAACATATGCATGAAAGAGGCTTGTGGGTTCGATTCTCCTTATGGATGCATGAAGTGTCCAGATTGAAGATTCGATTCCCAATTTAAATTATTATTTCTAAAACGAGTTGTCCCCTGTAGCTTACATTTTCTAATGGTTGTTTAAACTTGAAATCATCATAAAACAACCTTCGTTTATTACACTTTTGTTTAGTTTTTAAATAGCTAATAGGTTAAATATAGTGTTACTGGGTTTTTTGTTCGTACAGGTTTTATAACCTTAAGTTTTCGACCCAAAAATATATAAGGATAAATATATTAAAGAAAGACACCAAATAACTTAAGTCATGGTATTTTTGCGTAAAGGAACATAAAAATATCAGTATGTTTAGTGTAATTTTTTTATTGGTTTATAAAGATAAAATAATATATAGGAATGGCATAATGTTTTTTTTTTTTTTTAATAAAAATCTTGTTTTCGTCTTCCATAGCAATTAACGAAACCAAATACCGACATTTGTATCATGAAATAGTCAAATTATTATCATACATTTGAATGAAATATGGGTCATTGTTAGTCTATACAAATACACTATACAGTCAGTTTTAACATTAAATAGTATAAAATGAGATCTAAAACATAATTCAACCTTTATCCCATATGGAACGACGAGAGATTCAGATTTTATGCAAAATAGAACTTAATGAAAAAATGAAAAGATACTCTTTTAATTCGGTGAATTTCCACTGTGGGACTTGTCAGTGTTGTCAAGCTTGACGAACATTTTGGCAAATAGTGTTCAAAGTAATGTTGCCAACAGATAATGAGGAGGTAGTGTGTACTTTTTTAAAATTGTACAGTATTTGATCGGTTATAATAGTTTTTGAAGTATGCTCTCACTGACAGACGAATATACTCGTAAACGTAGGCACTTAAATGTTGATGTGCCTTTTTTATTCACTCAGTTTTGCCCAATTTTGGGCACTCAAGTGCACTTCAGTAGGATCTAATTTTACCTATCCCATATAGGAATGCAGTCGATGAAGTCAGTCGAGGGGACAATTTGCACCGTTGTATATCTGCAGGCTGGGGCCCAACTCGTGCTAAGATGGAAATGTTTATATTTTGTTAATAGCTTGGTTAATCCATTTTGTATATTGTTCGTCCGTCGGTCGCAGCAGGTTGACTTACCTATAATATTCAGAAATATGCTGAATCATGTATAATAAAATAATTTAGGTAATGATTGTTTGTGTTTTATTTGTTACAAAGTGACCTAGCCATTACAACCTATACTCGTAAAGTTCCACGGCTATAGGCCTCCTACACAGATGGATTTCATAGAGGGGGCTTTCCATTAATCACGTGAGGCTCGAAAGGGGGGGAGGGGTATGGCAAAATTCACGAAATATCACAAGGGGGCAGGGGGGGGTGGGGGGGTCGTGTAGTAAGATTATCACGTGTATTTATTTTTCGTCAAACGCGATTTATAAACCGAAAGGCGGCGTGTAATGTGACCTTGACTCGCCTGTACATGTAAATTCACGTCACAAGCATGAACCTAATCCGAGCAATAAAATCTAGAGATGCACAATGTTCGTCCTTTACGCATCCTCACGCAACGATCGATTGGTGGATTGAGAGATTCTCTGCGTAGTGCGCGAAAATGATGACGCCGAGTGGCTTGATGATACCGACGCTGATCTTCAACAAAGCATAGTACTAACAGCTGAATTGCAAGATACTTATTCAGTAGAGGACAATGTACAATAAATATGTTCAACTACTACAATATATGTTTTTCGCAGGATTACATCATTCCTTCATATTATTTTTACACCAGTCAAAAACAACCTGCAATCTTTCTGTGTAGACATTTTATCATGGTCCTTAATTTCGGAATAAAACTAGATTATACATAACATTTTTAGAATATTATGTTTAATTACATGTATAAAACATGTATTTAAACATAATATTCTAAAAATTTTAAGATTCCTTGTAGCTATTAAAAAATACACTTGATTTTGGGTGGGGTGGGGTGTAGGGTAGTCTTAAACCTCACCACGTATCACCAAGAAAGAGGTGGGGTTAAAAAATGTTTATAAAAACATCACGTGATTAATGGACGGCCCCTTAGTTGCCCGGGTAGGGAGACGGGTTGGCAACTAGCTGAAAGATAGTTCTGCCTGTCTACTGTTTTAGATTCCTTTTGTCGCTTCTTAAGAAACCGAGTAAGTAGTGTAATAATAATAATGTCCCACCAGATCGAATTTCGGTCACGGCGGCCAGTCTCAACGTAGACTAGCCATCGGAGCAGGACAGGATTATAGTGCCCAAGTGTGTGCACAAGCACGGTACATCCATTCTCTGACTAATTCATCATCATTACAGCCCTTCACAAGTCCACTGCTGAACATAGGCCTCCCCCAAGTAATGCCACAAAGCACGGCCCCGAGCTACCTGCATCCATTGACTTCCTGCATGTTTTACTTGGTACACTTCGCCTGCTAGTAAGAGGCTGCCACTCGAGAACCTTTCTTCCCCATTGGTTGTTGGTCCTTCGAGCTATATGGCCGGCCCATTGCCACTTCAGCTTATTAATCCGTTAGGCTATGTCGGTTATTCTGGTTCTACTGCGGATATCCTCGTTAAGTCTATCACGCAGAGAAACCCCCAAGCGTTGCGCTGTCCATATGTCCATGTGCAGCGACTTTGAGCTTCCTCATACGGCCAGCAGTGAAGGACCACGTCTCAGATCCATAGGTCATCACTGGCAACACGTATTGGTTGTACAATCTAGTTGAGAGGTTTTGAGGTATGCCTGACGAGAAGATGTGTCGTAATATGCCGAACGCTGCCCAGCCGAGTAGAATCCGTCGCTTGACCTCTCGGTCGAAGTTGGACTTACCTAGTCGGACTATTTGTCCCAGGTAAATAATATACATACTCTTCAACAACTTCGAGCATAGTGCTCCCAACAACAATCGGCATAGGTGACGTGGACGACACACATAACTTGTTTTGTCCATGTTCATCTTCAGACCTATGCGTTGGGAGGCACTATTCAGGTCATTGATGATAGTGCTTAGGTCCTCCAGCGATGCTGCCATAAGGACTATATCATCGGCAAATCGAAGGTGAGTGATGTACTCGTCATTGACGTTAATATTGTATCCTTTTCAGTCCAGTAGCTTCCGAACGTCTTTCAATGTGAAGAGTTTCGAGGATATTACGTCACCGACAGTCAACTTGGCACCGCTAAAGTGACTGCAGCACTGCCCAAATTTCCATGGAATCAAAGGCTTTCTGAAAGTCCACATACGCAAAACAAAGTGGCAGACTGTTCTCTTTCGTCTTCTGTACAATTTGCCGAAGGGTATGCATGTGGTTCATGGTGCCTATTCGGAAACCGGATTGTTCGGGAGGCTGGAAGTAGTTTAGTCTGCGTGCGAGACGATTCGTAATGACTATATCTAGACTAGATCTAGACGTGGCGCAGAAGCGAAATAGATCTGTAGTTCTTCAATCTAGAATAAAGAAAAAATCTTAAAAAATAAATAAAATAAAGATCTGTCTGTTCAGTTGTCTGTATGTTGTCAAATCTGCTGAAGACTGCAGCTTCATCTTCGAGTAAGAGTAAGAGTAAGATCCAAGAATTTTTGTGTTCTTCTGCAACAGGTCTTACAGAACTTAGCTCCTACCGTATAAACAGTTTCCATAAGCTTGTTATCATATTGTCCACTTCATTGCAGTTTTCTAGGCACTGAAAACGGTTTTGTAATTCGAGCTAAAAGGTTTCGGGACTTGGTATTAAAGCACGAGGCGGACGGAGCGTTGACTTCATTTGACGAGACCGACCCTCCACCGGAGATTCTTAGATCCCTCTGTCCCGCCGTTACCATGGTCTCCACAGTAGCCGGGAATAGCTGGGCCGCCAGGGACTGGGGTCCGTTTATTTGTGTTGTAGTGGGTTGATGTATGTGCTAGGTGTGTGTAGACAGAAGGAGGAGTACAAATAAAAGGTAGACCTGTATTAACACTCGCGATTTAATATTCACACAAATATAATGTCACACCGAAATAAATAGACAGAAGGAGAATGCAACGCAAGTTTTGGCAATAAGGAAGAAGTACAGTGATAGAGAGAAACTTAAAGTACTCGTAAGATAATAAATTAACAAAGATAGGCACACGTAAATATTTTTTAAAGCGTCTGCCAGACAATGCGACAACCTCTCCGCCTCGAAGCACGTAAGCGACCAATCGACTGACCGAGGGTGCGGTGCTCTCACACTGCAGGCCCGTATGCACTGCCTAACGATATTACCATATATGGTCTTGTATTAACGACGCGCGATCAAACCTACGAGACGTTGACCAACTGATAGGAAGGGTGTATAGCGTAAAATGCGTGTGTGTGTGAGTGTATCATTGTATTTTTGTGTGAAATGTACGAGAGCCCTACAGTGTAGTTGTTCATGGGGGATACATTGCCATAGTTTCACGCGGTTGGCAACCGCAGTTTTTTTTTTACTTTTTCTTGTTATCAGAAAGATGATGCTGCCCATTTTCTACCTCAGTCTCTCTGTCGCCTCTTACGACACCCACGGGAAGATATGGGGTAGTGGATATTCTCAACCGCCACTACACTACACGGAAACACCTCACTCTCAAGGTCCGATGGAAGGGTAAATCCGAAACAACTGTTGAGAGATCAGGCGTAGGACTAAAGACTTTCTGACGCCAAGCAGTTACTGAGAATTTCTTGATGAAAAAGCTCAATAACAGACTTTTTGGCTCGACTCGGGATTCGAACCCAGGACCTCATGATCACCATTCGCACTACTACAAGCACTAGACCAACGAGGTGTAGTGTAGTATTCTTACACCGACACTACACAGTAAGTGTGTGGCAACTAAGTGACCTTAAATGACCTTTATCTAGATTGAAGGACCCCTCTTCTTAAATATTATAAACAAATAAATAGAGTATCATATGCAATCTTACCCCACTTCTGCCTAGGAGTTCCTTTTGGGCAGGTACCAACCTACCTGCCGCTAAATATTGCAAGCAGCTTGCACTGATACTATTCGGTCTAAGGTAAAGAGTATTCAGTTTAGCCTTTATACATATATGCATAGAATGGACCATAAACAATAATTAAAAAAGCTGAAGGTACTCCGGGTTTAACAATGACATCGGGACGTGAGTTCTCAGTCCCCCGTGACCATGGGTGCTGGAAAGCACCCGAAACGTCGGGAATTAAAAATAATTAAATGTAAACGCGATAAAATCTGTAAAAGTAGTTTTTTAATCAATGTGTAGTGTTCGCGTAAATACAAGAAATCATTAGGTATTCAGCCATTATAAGCTTTCCATCTTAGTCCCCAGAGGTGACACTGCATTTGTTCGAAGTTGGTTGCAGATGTCCATGGCCTGGAAGAGCCACTCAACATCTATGGGCTATTAACCCCTCAGTCTCCAGCTAAAATGATTTACATCGCGAGCCCGTTTTGCGCGACGCGGCGTAGCTAAAAATAACCTAACCTTGAATTTGTCGTACATTTATTTTCTATAAAATTCATTATAAATTTCAATATAATATTTGTTTCTGTATATTTATTATGTCATATTACTAGTTTGATTGTTTTTACTTCATTAAAAATATACTATTTTTATTATAAAAATATATTTGTATTATATTTTTAGAATAAAAATAGTACTTACCCAGCGTAGGACAGCAGCTCGATTTTCACAATTATTTCTATATATTACTCGAAATTATTTACGTAAAAATATAAATTGTATTCACAAAAAAACTTTTATAACAATTATATAGTAAAACACTATACTAAACGCTAATAAAACATTAGAAAAATCCAAAAATCAACACAATAACACGCCACACGAAATAGGCGTACGAAATGAACGTAAATTATAAATAAAAGACCATAGACGAACTAGGTACGTTTTATTGCATTAGGGAATAGAACATTTCACATTGAGCATATAATGCCAAACTTCTTCATATACAAGTAGTCTAAATATAAGTTTTTATGGTTTAAAGTGCTGTGGGTAGGTGTGGTCGACAAACTTTCGCCTAGGGCGTCCCTTTCCAACTCTTACATTCACTTCTGCAACATAAATTTGCTTTGTCACTCTTTCCTCATTCATTCTTTCCACATGAACAAACCACCGAAGAATTCCTTTCCTAATCCTGGTCACCACATCATCTTGCAAACCACACTCTTCTTTTATCATACAAATTCTCACCCTGTCACTCAGATGCAGCCCTAACATACTCCTTCGCGACCGCATTTCTACTGCATTTATTTCGTGCTTCTTCTGCCACACTCAACTTTCACTACCATACGCTAAAGTAGGCACCTATACAGCATTGTGAATTGCCATACGTAATTATAAGATTAACATTAATAAGTAATTATAAGAACTGTTTTATCACGTGTTTGGTGGTGAAGAGAAACATCGTGAGGAAACCTGCATCAGCTAGCGCGATGGACATTTCCTTGCCCTACTACTCTATTAGAAAAAATAGGAGGTCTGCGCCCAGCAGTGGGACGTACTGGAGCCCAGCAGTATGTTCAAGATATATCAGACATTCCCCCTCCTACTCCAAATCCTATCCAGTTCACAACGAAAAAAGAGTATTAAATTTATAATAAGAAGAGAGAAAGAATTGTATTGTGCGCCAAAAATCTTTTAGAACATAAACTGTGATTAGTTTCATAGCAATGAAATAAAAATACAAACTACAGTAAAAATAATTATTTACTATTTATTCCTAATTACAAAATAATTATGTTACACTTATTAATAACTATATTTCATATTATATTATTATATATACACAGTTTGCTCATAATCAAAACAACTTATTTTGAATTATATTATACACTCAAAAAAACTTAGTTTGTATTGTATTATATCCGACAGTCTTACATTATGATAAATTACTTAGCAAATTTTTACAATAGGTAATCTAATGATAAGCTAACTCTAATATTTGCCAACACGCGGGCAATCAAGTTCAATCCCCACATAACCACGTGATAGACGGTGAAAAAAACCGCATGTTTTAAAAATAAAAATATTCCGAAAACGTAAAATCTCAATTGCTCATGCCTCGCATTGGGGCGCATATACAATAAATATCATCAACACTATACAGCATTTTGTTATCGTACAACTAAAATAAATTTCCTACGTTTTGTAGTTTAGCCACAGGAAATTTATTTCGTTTCAGTAATTTTTGCACTTGATGTGATGTGAAAAGTGGTGCATGACCACTTTTCAAGAGGCGAAAGTCGATAGAAGTCTACGTACAAACTGTTGTCTCAAATGTGTCTAAACTGTTCATTAAAATAAAGAAAGCGAATGAACGCGATTGCCGCGCTTAAAGGTAACGTTGTAAAGCCTGTTTAACCCTTCAATCCCCAAATAAAATTCCCTTGCAGACGCATGCACCTGGCAAATCCCGAGCGGTCGCATGCGACCGCACCCACCCGCAGCACTTAAAATCATTAAAACTTATATTTAGAGACTACTTTTCTATGAAGAAGTTTGGCATTATAAAATCTATACAAAATTCTCTTATCCTGTGGTCTAAACAATAGTCAGGTTTTACTTCATTACAAAAAGATTTTATTGTATTTTGATAACAAAAAAAGACATACTAACGGATGTCGGCAGCGTGAAAATCACAATTATTTCAATATATATTACTCGAAATTATTTACGTAAAAAGATAAATTATATTCACACAAACACTTTAATTAAAACACTATATTAAGACACTAATAAAACACTAGAAAAAATCAACACAATAACATTCATACGAAAATGGCGTATGAAATGAACGTAGAGTATAAATAAATATCCATAGACTACCTAACTTTTTATTCCACTAGAGGATAGAAAATTTCATATTGATTCTATAATGCCAAACTTCTTCATAGAATAAACGTAAACGTCTCAAAACGTAAGTATTTATGGGATAAAGTGCTGTGGGTAGGTGCGGTCAAATTTGACCTCTTGAATTTTGACGGAATATTGAAGCGGTCAAATTTGGACGCCTGGCGCTTGAGGGGTTAATTTTTTTATTACATAATGTAATATTTATTTTGCTTGAAAACTTACTCATTTTTAATTTTGACACAAACAAAATTAACTATTTCTAAACACTTTTTAAACTAGTAATGACCGAGTTTTTATTTATTGTATTTAAGGTAACATCACACTGTATAATGTTACAACTCCCGTAAAAAACGGAAAGAGAATAGCCCGTTTGGAAATTCTGTTGTGAACAGAAAATAGTGGGTGAAAATTTCGTTTGGAAGTATTGATTATGCGAATCGAACCCGAAAACCGTCCAGTTGATAAATGAACTAGTAGTCCGCGGCCGTGTTGGCGAGGTAGTCCCTCCTGCCGATGTTGGACGCCTGCTTGTTCTGCACCGCCTCTAGTTTCGGACACTCTGCAAACAAATACTTTATATTACTGATATGCATTGAACTGGGTAATTGACAACAGCATTAATTGAATTAATATACACAATGAATTTAATTATTAGACATAATTTAAAATTTGTAATTTCGGGCACAGGCCTCCCCTCATTTCTGAGAGTGTTTTAGGGCAAGGAATTGTCCGCCGCGCTGCCCCTATGCGTGTTGGCGAACTTCACATATTTTTATTATTTGTCTTCGAAATATTTTTTTTTATTACTCAGACATGCAGGTTTCCTCACGATGTTTTCCTTCACCGTACCGAGCACGTGGTAAATCAGCACTTAAAATTGCAATTAACAATTTCATTGGTGTCGGCGGGGATCGAACCCGGGTTACTCGCGTTCTGTTATATTTACAGCGAGCGTTAACCATCTGAGCTACAACGGCTCTCTAATTTCAGTAGTGTATTCAAACTCGGTCGAGTTACCATTTGAAATTAGATTAAAAATCTAAAGACTAAAAATATATAAATAAAATGATAATTTTAATAAAATAATTATGAAGTCTTTATATTAGGAAATAACATTTTAATAAATTGGCTTATGGAGTTCTATTTTTAAATAAATTTGTTTCTTATAAACATATAACACAGGTGCGTTCCATTTTTTAATTTAGAGCATTTCAAGACTTATTGAGTGAACTACGTAAGAATTAATATAATGGGTGCGTTTGGTAGAAAAAAGCGCTAGCAAGCGCTTGTAAGCAAAATGGCGATCGTAAGCGGTAAGTGCTGTCAAATCGTAAGTAGCTATTTTCCTCTAGGACACGAAGTTAGTTTTAACCGGGGAACCTAACCTAATTTATATGTTTGTAAAGTATTCATGTTAAAAACTTACCAATCATGAATTTTTAATAACATGTATATCTCTATTCATGTCATTATATTACTTAAAACTAATATTGCACAAAAAAAACTTATAAACTCTACTTCAAAACAAACAAATTAAATAAGCAAAATGGCGGATTGTGTCAGCGCTACTGAAGTAGCAATCGTATCCTGGCCGAAAACTATTTCAGCGCTTGTAAGCGCTTGCTAGCGCTTTTTTCTGCCAAACGCACCCATTAACTTATACTTATTAAGAATGTTTGTTTTGGCAGCTGTTAAAAAGTACCTTTTTTCAATTTTATAAAGTTTGGCTAAAAGTGTCAAACACAAAATTTGTGGCGGTTTTTAATCCCTGAGAAAACCTGTATACTAAACTCTGCCAACAAACCGTCTCTTCCCTGCAATAAAAACTATGTCACCACGTTCGCACAGAATATCAGCGTGCTATAGCAACTTAATTCTGCTGTATTTCGTATGGCGTGTGTAGAGAACTGGAGACACTATTTACTGGAAACGAGGTATTCCATCTTGGACCTCACGGGTGACAACGCATCTGCATTTTGATTCGTGATCGAGGATAGATGTAGATGTCTATGGGCCATAGCATCCACTCACCATCAGGTGGACTGGATGCTCGCTCGCCTCTCATTCCATCTTATTCCTCAGGTGTCACAAGTGACAACGCATTTGCATTTTGATCCTTAATCGTGGATAAGTGTTGGTTTACTGTGGCCCACATTCATTGCAATCATGTGGAATGTGTTTGCCAAATCATATTTTTTCTTTTTTTCTAATTTTTATTTGCCAAATCTTAAATAAAAAATATTAGGTGCCGAAAGTCTGACTCTGATCCTGTGATCGCCAACACTACAACCCTGGAAAGTATCAATTTTCTCCGAGATAGGGAAAGCTAGACTTAACCACGCTTTGATAATAATAATTTATCAATTTCAAGACAAAAGATCCATATCTGTTAGTAATTTATTACCGAAAGACATAACTATTGTTAGGCCCGGTTTACATTTTGAGAAGTGACAAGTGCGTATTTTATTCCTACTTATCACTTGTCACTGCCTGTTCACACGCACTAAGTACTCGTCATTTGTCAGTTACACTTGCCACTCGCACTTGTCACTTATCAAAATGTAAACCGGGCCTAAAATAAAAATGAAGTAATTAAAGATCATTACCTGTAATTCTGTGTCCCAGACCACCACAGTAGGAACAGCCCTGGCCATCCGGCACTGGTACATCTGGCTCCCCGATCATATCCAGCAGGAACGATGGCACCTGTTTAATGGTGGAGATAGGTTATTTCCAAAGATTGAGTCTTCCACTTCCAGAATTCCACTGCTGAACTATAGATTTCAATGCTCTACTTGAAGGATTTACCTTACATACCCCGCTGGGCTGATAAGTACAGAACCAACACTATTGCAATGGTAAAGCTGTAATCTACAGTTTGTGGTATTTCGGTTTGATATTTTTGGTCAATCAGTAGTACATGCGTTGGTTAAGACTTAAAGGAAAAGTTGATATATCTCCTATTACCAAATTCAGGATGATTGTAAAATATTCCACAGTTGGAAAGTGGACGCCTAAGTTAATCGTAGAGTAATGGATTTGCTCATAAAAATCAACATCAATAAAAGAAATGCTTCAAGTTCCTCTTTCCTTTCACTAAAATAACAAAAGATATCAGTTTAATAGTGCATTCTAACCGATAACATTTTAAGTTTGCAGGCCGTACCCTAAACAATAAAGCGTGTTACACACACTACGCAGATATGATAAGATATCTGTATCTGAGCGCATATCTTTCAATATCACGCCGTCAGTATCAAACCGATAACATTTCAAGTTTGCAGCCCGTACCATAAACTATAAAGCGTGTTACACACACTACCCAGATATGATAAGATACCTGTATCTGAGCGCATATCTTTCAATATCACGCCGTCAGTATCAAACCGATAACATTTCAAGTTTGCAGCCCGTACCATAAACTATAAAGCGTGTTACACACACTACGCAGATATGATACGATATCTGTATCTGAGCGCATATCTTTCAATATCACGCCGTCAGTATCAAACCGATAACATTTCAAGTTTGCAGCCCGTACCATATACAAGAAAGCGTGTTACACACACTACGCAGATACGATAAGATTATGTATCTGAGCGCATATCTTTCAATATCACGCCGTCAGTATCAAATCGATAACATTTCAAGTTTGCAGCCCGTACCATAAACAATAAAGCGTGTTACACACATTACGCAGATACGATAAAATATCTATATCTGAGCGTATATCTTTCAATATCATGCTCTACGAAATTCAATGAACTAACACACACAGCGCAGATAATTTTGAAGTGAAAACTTCTTTAGCGGCGTTGTACACTTTTTTGTAATGGGTAAAAAATGTTAAACTCGCGTCAGGACACGTGACCCTGATCGAAAATTCGTGAGACGTATGGAGAGAGGGAGACAGCCGGCGCGGCGTAGGAGAGGAAGTATCCCCCTCTCTTTCTACGGCGCGGCGAAAATGTATGCCTGCGCCTGCTGTGTCATTTAGTTGTGTACGATAGCGCGATAAATAAATATTGTATTCTACCACATAAATTAAAGAAATTCGTGCAAAATTAATCCCTAACCATTCCAAAATATCAAAAATGCACAACGTTAATATACAAGTTTTCACTTCTGCCGGCACTCCCGGAGTGCCACCCATCGTTTTTTTATTCTATCGTTAAGTATCTGTAAGCAATATTATCTGCTCATAAAAATATATATGCAGATACAAATAAGGCAAAGGATTTTACCTGCAGATAAATACCGGATGGTCGCTGAAAAATTGCGATTAAATTCAAAGTCACGAAATGGCGAGGTGATTCATATAATGGGAGTGTGGGTTGCGAAATGCAATGCATTTAATGATATACACGGGTATGATTTGTGAAGTTCGTGGGTGTTTATTGACAATGGAGTGTGAGTATTAAAGTGCGGAGTGTTTTTTTATATAAGTGGGGGCAAACGAGCATGCGGCTCACCTGATAGTAAGTATCAACCGTTGCCGATGCGTTGCCGGCCTTTTAAAAAAGAGTAGGCTCTTTCCATGAAGGCTCCTAAGTTGTATCGGCCTGGACAATCACTGGTGGTAGTAGATTCCACAAGGAAGTTGTGTGAGGAAGATAACGTCTTTTAAATCACTCAGTGGTAGACCGCCAGACATCTAGATGGTACGGATGGTATCGCGAGTTTAGTCGCGATGTGCGATGGTGAAACTGAGCCGCTGGAATTAGTCCAAACAATTCCTCAGAGCACTCCCTAAGGTAGATGCGATAAAATACGCAAAGAGAGACATCTATTCGCAGTACCAATGAGTTAAGCCGATCAGAAAAATCTCGGTCGCCGACGATTCGAACCCCTTAGCGCTAGATGCGATCTAATACAAGGAGCTGGTACTGAGGAACCCCAGCCTAGAGATGGGAAAAGTTTTTCCATCTCTAGGCCGAACTTGCGCCTTGTAAAGTTGCAGGTGGTGTGCCGACATGAAATACTGTCCCACTCTGGTTTTTAGAGGCCAATTTTTCCTTCTCGTTCAAGCTGCAAGTTATTCGATTTGTCGCTGGCTGAGGCAACAAAGGCAGTGTCCTGAAACTTAGGAGGTACGACAAAGAGGTTCTTTTTAGCGGTGAACGCGAAAACTTGTGTTTTCTGGGAATTGAACTGGACTAGATTTAGTCGGCACCAATCCGGGACTTTGTTTAACAAAGACTCGACTTCAGTCACAAGTGTGTACCGGTACTCGGCGAAGTTTTCCCGAGAAATATTGGTAAGACCGGTGTATAAAGCATCACCAGTGCTGTCGTACGCATAGCAATGAATGTTACGGGTTTGCAGCATATCACAGAAACGCAGAAGAAACAGAGTTAGTACACAGCTTTGTGGAAGACCTTCGTTAATAGGCTTGTAATGGGAGCATGCACCGTCTACTACGACCTTGATGTTCCGATCTGCAAGAAAACTGGTGATCCCATTGCGCAATTTCTCGGGGAACCCATAGGAAGGAAGCTTCGAAATAAGCGGTTAGTGCCCAACCTGATCGAGGGCCTTTGCTATGTCCCAAACTTACGGCCAATGCTTCTTCCCCCTTGGACTCTACCGCCGCCGCCCATCTATAAGTCAGGTAGACCAGAAGATCACCAGCTGATCGACCACGACGGAAACCGTATTGGCGATCACTAATCAGCTAGTGATTTTCAAGGTACCTCATGAGTTGGCAGTTTACAATGGATTCCATTGTTTTGGAGAACAAGGAGGTGATAGCTCTGGGGTCTGAGCTTTCGGTTTTTTTTGGGATCAAGTGGACCCTAGGTGTCTTCCATGAATTCGGTAGTACGACTAGGGGGTATGAGTACCGGAAAAGACGCATTAAAACCGGTGCCAACACCGGGCCACACGTCTTCAGCACAACAGAAGAACAAGTTGAATAAACCATTAGGCTTACTCAACTTGTTGTTGTCCAGGGAGAGGAGGTTTTTCTCACCGAGCGCTGTATAAACAGTAGAGATGGGCCCAATATGGATTTCACCGAATACGAATATTGGGCCGAAAGTTCGGTAAAACTTTTACCGAACCGAATATTCGGCCGAACATTATTCGGCAGGATCACCTAGATACCTAAACAATTTATATCGAAACTTATTACCGTAAAGCGCGCGGGATTAGCGCCGGACACTGCCAATCCCCCGCCACACCTGACATGTTATTGCATCATCTAGTACTGAGCAAATGCCGGCACATGCTTATGTTTTGACTATTTTTGTGAGAAAAAAAAGTATTTCGTTTTGTTAAAATATACTTTCAACAGTAAAATTATGAAAGCCATGGCATTACTCAATTCGTACATTTCAATTCAGTGGCCACTTTGAGAACAACTTTGACGAATGTTCGGTGACTTAGCCGAATATTCGGTAAAGCTGCCGAATGTGCCGAATACCGAATATAAAACGAATATTCGGCCCATCTCTAATAAACAGCACATCATGCATGGCCATGGTCGGCGGGCGGGGCCCAGGAGCATGGTGTGTACATGTGCAGTGAGGATGTGAGTAGTGCAGTAGTGCAGTGGGTGTGAGCGCACCTTCTGTCCGGCCCTCGCGCAGCAGGTGCGCCAAGTCGCGCAGCACGCTGTCGTCGGCGGGCGGGGCCCAGGAGCATGGTGTGTACATGTGCAGTGAGGATGTGAGTAGTGCAGTAGTGCAGTGGGTGTGAGCGCACCTTCTGTCCGGCCTCACGCAGCAGGTGCGCCAGGTCACGCAGCACGCTGTCGTCGGCAGCGCGGCCCAGTAGCGTGGTGGCCACGCCTTCGCCACCCGCGCGCCCAGTGCGCCCAATGCGGTGCACGTAATTCTCGATGTCCTCCGGCATGTCATAGTTGATCACGTGCTGAATGTTCGCGAAGTCCAGACCTTGGGGCCGCATAATCCACAATTAACGACAACATTAGGCGCGTGCAAACTGAAGAGAATCTCACAAGGGCAAGCTATAGTAGACGACGTGGCAGTCGCGACTATAAATTAATTAAGCGTTAGGGTAGTGAACACGTGCAATACGCATTGTCGATGGTTTAAGCACCATCGTGGCCAGAAAAATTAATTTTCAGTTTCATCCTGACTCTTTTAGGTCACATGTACACTTACACGCAATTTTAATGTTCGTTATGTCAAATCAGATCTTCACCAATTCAATCTCATACAATATTACACGTTCAAGTTTTTGACCCTTTTGAGTTTACTAATTTATATCATAACGCCAAGTAGCTACCAGATTATCGTCGAAAATTATATTTAAAATTTAATCCCCTTAACGGCAAAACCTTTTACTGGGGGGAACCAGCAAGAAACTCAGCGGAACTTTATTTCAAAGTAATATATTATACGATAAAACACAGGTTGTACAAACTACTTACAAAACTTATTAAAAAACAGCTTTAAAGCGACCATCGTCCATTAATTCCTTAATATTATAATAACTTTCAGGAGGTCAAATTCTGTATATTTGCTAAGATTTTGTTGTAAAAGCGTATACCCAGGAATGAATAACTGACTCGGGGTAGTCGAGTAACTCGTGCTACTAGTTCGTGTCCGTTCCTGGTTATAGAATAGATATCACCTATGTTTTTAATTACTTTTATTTTTGTGTACAAACATTACATATTCGTATATGTATTGATATAAATTAATTTCCTTAAATTTTTGTCTGAGCGAATCCTTAGGCTTTAAATCATAGGTTGCTATTATGGTCCTCTACTGTAAAACAAATTAAAATAATTTCAGTATTAGTCGCGTGTTATAAACTAGTCCCAGCTGTTTCAATGGTATGATTTTTGATATATGGGGGCCCTATTGAAGCTTCGAGTCTTAGTGTGATTCCAAGAAAAATGGTAGCATCGACAAGACTCAGTTCTTTCCCATTTAAAATTACTTTAGTATTTAGATGTTTGAAATTTAGTTTCAGGACCATTTAAATACTTATTAAAGTTAAACCCATTTCCTAATTTAAATAGAGCATTATTTAATTCGTCATATTTTAGTAATTGTCGTTTTAATTTTACCGGGCGAATTATAATTCCAATTTTCCCTTGACACTTTTAACGGGCTTAGGATCGTCATAATAATTAAGATTAAAAAAAATACTTTTTGCTTATCAACGGCGAATTCAACTTTTTAAATATGCCATAATAATGTCAGTTTTCTATTAGACGATTTAAAAAATTGTAATAAATTATTTACCAACTGTAACTTGTACTCCACTGTCTCACTTACCGATGTCGCCTCCAATGCAAACTTTTATATTTTTTTAAAGGATAGGGTGACAAACGAGCACCCAGTCCACCTGATGGTAAGTGGTTGCTGTGGCCCATAGACATCTACATCTATCCTCGATTACGAATCAAAATGCAGATGCCTTGTTACCCGTGAGGACTAAGATGGAATGTCCCGTTTCCAGTAAAAAGGGTTGGTTCTCTACACTGACCATACGAAACACAGCAGCATTAAGCTACTATTTCACGCTGGTATTCTGTGAGAGCGTAGTTTTTCCCCGGTCGAGCCGACCCATTCGTGCTACAACTATTCTACTAATATAGTAGCATGACTCTACCACATATACTTATATAAATATTATAAGACCATTCACAAAAATCTGCTTGAAAAAAAGGTCCTTGTGGGTTTCTTGCCGGTTCTTCCCAGGGCAAAGGTTTTCTCCGACCAACCTAAGACTTTCAATTAGTATTACTAATATTCTATTTTACAGTTGGTTAGAATGTCTTGCACACTATTGTCAAGCTAGCTAGTTTTATAATAGTATATCATCATCATCATTACAGTTCATCAGTCTAGTGCAGAATATAGATCTCTCATAAGGGACTTAGTTGACGTAGATTTTTTGCTTTAATTGTTATTAGCTCAAAGAACCGACAATCCATGGGGAAGAAAGGTTCTCGAGTGGCAGCCTCGTACTGATGGAGTGACGACCTGGTAAGACATGCAGGAAGCCGATGGATGCAGCACTGTGCCTTGTGGCATTTCTTGGGTCAGGTCTATGTTTAGCAGTGGACTTGTGAAGAGCTATATGGTGGTGATGGTGGTGGTTAGACATGTGTCAATCATGCATGATTCGTTCGTTTGAGCTGGTACACTTAAAATTATTGATAGTTCATTCATTTGTTTTTGAATGAACCAGTACAACCAATCACAAACAATTGACGGTACCTTTTTAACCCGCAATTTGTTTGAATTGTGAATGAGCCGTATACCGACCGACTCCCGAATGATCTGAATAAACAGGCGAACAATGCAGACTGCAGAGTATCAGGAGTATTTATTATTTAAGGGTTTTTGTATTATAATATTGTTACCTAAATTAAAAATTATTTTACATTTTATTATATTTATTTGTTACATCTATGAGTTAAAAATATCATTTCGTAGAGTTTACTAAAAATAACACTTCAAAAGATTTTATGGTAAATGATTTATTTAATGATAATTTTCAATCCTCTTATATAAGTATAAAATAGATAAATTTTAGCAAATAAATGTTAAAATTTTCGGTTCCCAATGGATCTCACAGAGTACTGGAGCCTGAATGATCCATTTGAATGATCGATCCGAATGTACCAGTACGCGTGAAGAAATGTACTAGAATGATTCGGTCGCTAGAAATGAATGATTGACACATGTCTAGTGGTGGTTGTGGAGATGGTGGTGGCGATGATGATGATGATAATGTTTAAGAAGCCGTTTCTACTCATCTCCTGGCTTTTTTCCCTTTGTCGCCTTTTACGACATCAACGGGATGATATGAGGTAGTGAATATTCTTGTACCACAACACGTATATTATGGTTAACAGTAAAGTTTGGTATAGCACGCAAATCATTACACTCCGTACAAGTACTCACCTTTACTCGCCACGTCGGTAGCCACTAAAACATCCTTCTCCCCTCTTCTGAACGCTTCTACGGCTCGAGATCTTTCTTCTTGATCCTTCCCACCGTGGATAGCGACCGCTTCAACACCTGTTAGAAATGAGTTTACATTAAATAGTATAGATAATAGATTCAAATTCTGTAGAAATGCGGTCACTTTTCAAGTAGTATTTATTCAAGAGTAAGAGATTGCGTGAGAAGAGAAAATTGTGGTTTGGAAGTTGTGACCGGGATTAAGAAGAAATGCTTCGGTAGTTAGGTCTTTTAGAAATAATTAATGAGGAAAACGGGATAAAGCAAATTTATCTTGCAGAAGTGAATCTCAGAGTCGACAAGGAAAGCTCTAGACAAAAGTTTATCGACCAAATTGGTGATATATTGAAGATAATCTGGCACATTAAAAGTGCCCTTAATCGACGAGTATCTATGAGTAGGTATACCAACGTAAGTAGGCGAGGGGGAAGGTGTGTCAGGATCGTACGGCGATGGAGACGGACTGATTAGTTTTTAAAAACAATTATTTAAAACACTAATATTTAGTTACAGTGTAAGTGGATTATATATTATAAACCGGTTTAGAATTTAATTTAGGTCCGTAGACAACCGAGCAAGTTTGAAGATGTAAAAAGACTGCCGTGGCCAACTCCACTGCAATACTCACTGAACCTTACGGCTAGTCAACAATATTAAGAGGCAGTGCAGCACTAAAGTTGCCAAATACAGGGTATAACGGTACCAAATCATAGTTCGTGTGGTCTCTGTCTACTCCTCTGTGTGACAGGCGTGAGTGTTTTAGGTATATATAATATATTCAGGCAATTATTTTGTGGAAATCTATTATATTATTAGGAACAGCGTGTAAAACAAAATGGAGTCTTACTTCATTCAAAGAGCACCAATCCTTTTCAAAATTGCGTGCACAATTACTGCCGCCACTAAATTCGATATCACTATCCCCAACACAAATACACTACACACCATTTTATTTTTCAACCGGGTCTTAGCTTTTTTAAATAAAATTTTTATAAATAAAAGTAACAAACGAACATGGACACCTGCAGCTTCAAATAGATGACTATAGATGCGTTATGACCTCTAGAGGCTAAGACGGAATGCATTAAAGTTTGTAATTGTACTGAGTCTATATACCCTTCAGATCGAAACACATTTAACAGTAGAAATAGGTAAGAGAGTGACCCATTCAAGCAGCAGTTCCATTCCCAGGCCGGAAAGGAGTTCTACAGTCTAGAATTATTTAGTTGATTAATTTTAACGTCTTTTATGATATGCACAGTTCGTACGGATAAAGAATGGGATTAAAAACGGCGCCTCATCGAGCACACACAGTATCAATAACGAAAACCCGCTAATAACCATATATCGTTATATAATTTGATTAATTTTAAAATAACATTTATAAATAGCGATCTGCTCTATTTTAGTAAGGTCTTTAAATTTTTGGGACATAATTAAGTTTAGAGTTTTGGCCTCAATTTTAGTTTTATGGTTTAAATAATTGTTTGAGTGGATTTTGATACATAAAAGTGCTGCGATTTTGTGTACTGTTGTGATTGTGTGTAATTATTGGAGAAAACGTGCTTCAATGTTGATATAAACCTCATGTTATTTTGATCGCTTAGGCGCCTTATGAACTTGCGTGACTGTCGTCGCTTCGCTGGGATGAGCTGTTGTCAAAATATTCCAAAAACTTCGCAATGAGAAGCATCAGCATATTGTGAAGACCAAACTCTAAAAACGAAGATCACGAATAAAATGACGAAATGGCTTAAAGAACAAGCATCCAAGCCAAAAATGTTAATTAAAAAAATGTCTAGATTACTCCTGTTATTACTCTCTATTTGTTCGTGAAGTTTTATAACAATCATTTAAGCCTTTACGAAGATTAGCTCGGACAGACAAACGAAAATTTTTGAAACTGCATGTAAATATTTTATACAAAAATATTAATAAATAAATAAAATCAAAAATAATAACGAAGAAAACTCTATTTTTGTAGTATTTCGGATTTTGTTATTGATTCCAATGACAAGTTGGACTGAAGTTATAGAACACTTACTCGTAAAACATATTTTTTGCAGTCTTTACCGGCGGGCGTGAGTATAGATAGCGACAGTGTGCGAACGAGATGTGAATAGAGACGACGCCATTTTCAATCCCGTTCTTTAACCGCACGGGTAGTGTCAGCGACGCGAGTTAACATCTCATTAAATCATTCATTTTCTTAAGAGAGCGGTTAAGGTTCTGAAGTCGCACGTCTTATTTAGGTGTTACGCCCAACGCGTTGTTCCCGAACCCAATGAGGTGTGGTATAAAATACGATATAGGAAATGGGGCTAATAAATATGGTTGATCACTGCTGCGAGCATGAGATGAAAAACGAGACCGCTTCTTCAGGTAGTAATAATTATACTAAGCAGTAAATATTAAAAGTCCACCGGTGAAGATAAGCCTACCCCTCCCCTCCCCAAAGCGGAAATGTTCGTCATAGTTTGCCATGCTTGGCAGGCGGTTCAACTGATTTTATTATAGAATAAGGGTGATAAACAACGAAGCGACAGTAGCCTAATGGCAGGGTACGAACCGCGAACTCCATTTATCGTGGGTTCGAATCTGCGATTCAACTACAGTCGTGCACCACTTCTAACACAAGCATTTTAAGCTTACCAGGAATAGTTAAAGGGAAAACTAGTAGTAATGATAGTATTTAAATAAAAATAACATCCACACAGTCCAACTGATGTGGATGCTATGGCCCAGAGACATCTACCATCTACAAAGAAATGATATGTAGTTAAGTCTACCTTTTAACAACAGATACTCGTGTATAGCGTCCACGTCTTGTTTCCTCTCCGCGAACACTAGCACAGGAGGAGGGGTTTTCTGGAGGCATTGCAACAGATGCACCGTCCTCGCTTCAGCCTTCACCGGTTCCAACTCTTGGCGGACGTTCAAAGAGGCCGCACCGGCGCGACCCACGTTCACCGTCACAGGTTTCACTAGCGCTGATCTGAAATATTATATCTCATTTATTTATATACATTTTATTCTAACGTGTAGTGGCGGTGTAAGAGCACAACCCCATATCGTCCCGTGGTGGTCGTAAGAGGCTACAGAGAAAAACAAATCAGAAGATGGTTGTGTAGCATAGAATACTATAATACACAATAGAATGGCTGTCAACCTTACTTTGTAGGAGGATTGGCGTCGCCGGGATGTGCTCCCGGCTCTGTTCACTTTTTACCACTTTTCGAATTTTTAACTGCGGGAGCATCACAGTTTCGTGGCGTTTCGCTTTGTTTCCTTGTACTTGTACGTGCCCTTTATAGGTTTAGCTTTGAGTAATGTGATGTAATGTTGTATAACTATTAGGTATCTATTATCACACACAATTATTAAAATAAAATAAGAAGGAGAAGAGAACGATAGTAAATTGATACGGTATTATAACATTAATAGTTCAATAATAAAATTAACTTATGGGATAACAGTCTTTCACTACTTATATTTACGGATCAAATTTGTATGTTAACAATCGAGCGTGGAGCAAGGAGCGACCTGCGCTTTTACACGTATAAAGGTCTCGTTGCTAACTGGCGCGTCTTCTAAACTATGCACCGCGGCTGGTCGACCGGGAAACCGGTTCTACGTAAGTGCCTGCCTAAGTGATAATAAATAAGTATGCAGTGCGTAGTAAATAAAATATATACATGAATACTATAGATTGTGTATGATAAACTTAACTGTATGAAGAGTTATTTATATACATATGTAAATGGCTATTTAAAATGTGTGTGTAAATAAATAGATACACCACAGCTTTATACTATGGTATATTATCTATGCGCGGGGATAAGTTTATCTCCTATTTTATCTACTGTCGATATTATACCCACCACAGGCCCATGGCTCGCAGGATGCATAAAACTTTGGCATTTGGATAAGACAATTTTATCCCTTGTCAGTGAATATAATCGGGGGATAAAAATTTTGTCTCCTGCCCATACTAGCCAGGCTGGACCACAAATGATGCAGTTGGATAAGTGACTTAATAAAATATATGTATCCTTCAGTGTCTGGGAGCGGTTGTTCTCGTACCGTTTATGACTTCAAGGGTACGATTCCCGCCGGCACAAATGAAATTGTTAATTGATATGTATTATATTAAGGGGCCAATTTACCACGTGCTCGGCGATAAAAAAGACATCGTGAGGAAACCTGTATGGAGCTTGGTCCTACCTCGGGTCGAAGTAACCCATTCCTGCTGTATATAGCTGCAGCATGGCTCTACCACGAAAAAAATTTCGCGGGTTTTCTCAGATTTTTTCTTTTCCTCACATTGTGAATGGGTTGACTGGCTCGTTGGTGTAGTAGTTGTAAGCGAGACTGTTAATGTGGTCCTGGGTTCGAATCCCAGTATCGGCCCAAAATTAGTTATTGGCTTTTACTGTCATGTAATTCTTAGTAGGAGAGCGGGAGTCAGGAAGTTGGCGGCGTTTCACTCCCGTGCCACATAATGCACGTAAAACCGTAGCTGCACTGTGTAAAGTCTCTCCGGCCGTGTCGGATTGCCGTCTAATGTCCTTGCCATAGAATACTATAATACACAATAGAATGTCTGTCAACCTTACTTTGTACGAGGATCGGCGTCGCCGGGAGCACACATACAAGCAATTACGTCGTATTATCAGTTATCACTACTACAAACACATTTTAGAATTTCGATTAATGTTTTCGACACATAAATGTTTCTTTATTTTTGTTTCTATTATTTACAAAGTAGACATAGTTTCGACGTAACTAGTTGTGGAATATGTCTCATTTATTTAAATTCCATTTCCCGCTGTTCTTTCGACACGTAATTATTGCACAATTTGCCAATTTTTAAATAATTTGCATGCAGCGACGCTTGACACGAAAATTGGAAACGATTGATTGTGTTGACATTTATACGTGTGAATTGACGTGTTAGTAACATGTTAATGGCTACACGGGCTCCGCCCACTCCCCCGCTATATTATGTATCTATTATAGGTATTCTATGGTGTGTAGTCACTTTTGGGATGGCTCAGCAAAATATCAACTTGCCGCACTAGACTCAGTAGAACTCACAGCCCAAAGGCTTATGGCCGACAAAAAGCGGGTGGAAATTAAGCTTTACTGCTTAGCTCACTACCGCCAAGTTGCTAGTTTGTCAGTATATACTACAGATTGTATTTAGTAGTGCGCCTATGAGCTTCATAAGCTCATACTGGCATTTTCATTCGCCTATCAGAGTACCAGACGTACTGCAGGTTACAATCACTTCGTTGAAATTCAGAATATTCGCACTAAGCGCTATAAATATAAATCATCTTTTATAATGCGCAAAGCCAAGGCGTGAAATGCCCCCGGACCGCCACGGAGATCGACGGCAAGGGCGACCAATCAGCGCGCCACCGACATTTTTAGTACACTTCAAAAAGTAGGTTCTAAACTCGATTGGATAAGATTTTTTTGTCACTAAACAAAGGCTTTTTGTGTTTGCGCATACGCTATGTTCAAACAACAATAATTCTTAAAATAATATATATACAGCTGTAAACTTTATGTTGTATTGTAGCTTAACTCAAAATCTGTCGAACTAGTAAAAAAATAAACAGGGGGTTGTTTTTGCAGTAATTTACAACAATTAGCCGATTAGCATAATTTTCTGATATGTATTTGAAGTAATTTTTTTTTCTTTAATGATTCGAGTTTGTGAACAATTTTTTTTGGGAACGAAAACGATAGACAATACCTCCGAATGAGCCAATTTTTATCTCAGTAAGACCAAAACTTTGAGAGATATGAATTTTTGAATATTTGTAGAAAAAAACAAAATGGCCGCCACATAGAGGGGGAGCCGATTAGACCTCAGTGTGTAGTGTATTTTTGTATTAAAATAGCTGTATTATAAGTACCTAGAATATCGTTAGTCCTATATAGACCGGACACGCTATATATATATATATATATATATATATATATATATATATATATACATATTAATTTACCATGTTCTCGGCGTAAAACATTGTGAGGAAACCTGCATAAAGTTAAAATAAAATACACATGTGAAGTTCGCACACACGCATTTTGATAGCGCGGCAGTTTTTAAGAAAGAAAAATAAAAAGAAATTTCTCTCTCATTCCTGTGCCCAGAAGGGACAAATAAGGCTGTAACTTTAATATCCATAATATCTTCAGAAGTGTTCCTCCCTCTTTAAAATTGGTAATACTTTTTATTGTAAGGTTTTTTATTCATTGCTGTAATTCAAATTATTACCAATACAATTTATACATAATTATTTTGTTGTTGTATTAGGTTGTAGCTTTAAAAATTATTTTTAAAAGTTTCTTATTTTTTTTTACTTTTTCAGTCTCCTATTATATGGGCATCCTCGGGATGATATGGAATGATGATATCTCTTACGCTGCTGTCACAAAGAACTCAGGAGCCCTCATTCAACCAATCCTATCACAGTTATATAGTATAACTACAAACGTACACATCCAGTAGCTACTTACCTGGCGAAGTTCTGTATTTTCCTAGGCATGGTGGCGCTGAATAACAGCGTCTGCCGTTGCCCGGCGAAGTAGGAGAAGATGGTGCGCACATCTTCTTCGAAGCCCATGTCGATCATCCGATCAGCTTCGTCCATGCAGAGGTAACGGCACACATTTAAGCGTACCTAAGGTAGAAATATCAAAACTGACTATCTCCTGTATAATTGATCGAGGTGATATTTTAAACGTTTTTAAATTTGATTGGCTAAAATTAGAAAACCTTTTCTGAGTAAGCGCATAAAATTCAATAATATAGACCCTAAAAAATAGTGCTACAATTAGAAATAGAATTTTAAAAACTTGTTTTAAAAGAAACATACCATTTTCTTATCTAGCATGTCCATGAGCCTTCCTGGTGTTGCCACCATAATGTGCACGCCTCTTTGCACCACTTCCATACACTCTGACACCGCCACACCTAAAATAAATTTTTTTCAACTTATAATAATAATAATAGTAGTCGTTTCTGCAAACGGGCAAATCCCAGTCAGCCTCTCGGGTCATCTGAGGAGGCTGGGACTCCGTGACGGACCGCTCCGGGCTCAAATGCAGAAGGCGGTGCTCCTCGATACCGCCCGCATCGTCCGCTGGTTTCTCTCCCTATCCCCCTAACCCTCAGCCGTTTGGTCTCCCCTGCCGAGGCTTCCATCTGGTTGGGCTTTTATTTATTTATGTATTACTTATTTATTCGTGCTGGTATATGAAATATATATTTATGTATATTTATCATTTCTTTTTATATATTTATTCAGCCCAACCAGATGAATAAAATAAAAAATAATAATAATAGCTGACGTAACAGTTAAGTGACAAAACTGCTACGTCAACGCAGTCAGTCAGCGCCTTGCGAGAGGTGTGAGTGCCGTGCCTCGGCAGAATTTAGGGTGCAAAGGCCCGTTTGTGCTTATGGCCACACACGATACGGAGACGGGCCTGAGCGTCTCCCGTTCCCGTTAATGGACGCCCAAATAATGGATGATGGTTAAAAAGATAGTGCGCAAAGGGCCGCTGCCTGGGGGTCGCCGGGGCGCGTCTGGAGCTGGCGCTGGACGCAGCAGCATGAGGGCCGGCAGCCGAGCGCGAGGAGCTGCACGGTCACCTAGCAGCCCTCCGCATCCATCATCCCCACCAGAAGGCTTAGTGTCGGCTGGGTCTTCTCAGACTCAGCAAGCGGCACCCGCCGCTGGTGGAGAAAGTCGCATGCGTTGGTCACAAGCAATGAACGCAAACGCACTGCGGGCGTACTTTAGGGCAAAAGGGGAAGAAACTGGATGTTTGGCGTATCGGGCTAGGATGCATCGTCTTTTTGCTGAGCTGGAGCCATCTTTAACCGTCACAGAGCAAAACCTGGCAGACCGAGTTCGGTATATCTTGCGCTCAAATATATTTGATGTCGCCGAACTCGAACGGCTACGACGTGAGGTTGTTCCCTCATCGGATGAAAATGCTACGGCTGAGGATGCGGTGCCACAAATTGTAGAGCAACCCGCAAACGTGAATGCCGCCGTGAATGCCGCCGTGAATACCCCAGTTGTGGTTGATTCAAACGATGATGGAACAGTCGCCCAGGAACTGGAATTAGAGCATATGAGGAGTACATTCGAAGAGGCGATTGTGGAAACACGCAGTACGCCTCTCGAAAATCGACCGCGACTTCCCCGCATAGCCCTAAGCAAGCGGAATCGGGCTGTCGTGAGGGCTCTGAACCCAATGCTGGTGAACTATTTGGAAGCCAGCCGGGACCTTTGCGATACAGACTCAATTCTTTTTGGCGCAGCGCTGGCAGTCTGCCGCATCATAGGCGCCAAGGTTTCCACGGCTGGACGCACTACTGGCCAAAGTAGCGCTATCCCAGCATGGAGAAGAAGAATTGAGGAACGTATCGCAAAGGCTAGAGCTTTCATCGGCAGACTGATATGCTTCAGATCAGGCAATAACAGGCCAAGAATTGTGAGCACCGTCCGGATGGCGTTTGCTGGGAAAAATGTCAGTTTGTCCCAGCCGGATATAACGCAAAAACTGACGGAGCGCATAGATGATCTGAAGCAGAGAATCACTGCTTGGGGAAAGCGGATTCGGCGATATACCGAGAGGTCGACACGGTTCAACCAGAATCGCCTCTCCCAGAGTGACCAGAAGAGGCTCTATGAATCATTGGAGCGACCAATGGTAAGTGGAACGGGCCCAGCACCGAATCAGGCCGACACTGTAGCATTCTGGCGCGGCCTGTGGTCAGAGCCCGTAAACTACAGCGAGGGCCCTTGGACAGAAGTTGTGGCGAGTCAGTGTGCGAGTATAACGCCCATGGAACCCGTCATTATAACACCGGATGACGTAGCTGAGGCGGTCTGTAGGGCCCCGAAATGAAAACGTCCGGGACTCGACGGACTGCATCCCTACTGGCTGAAGGGGTGTGTGGTGGGTCACACTGTGCTCACCCGACAGTTTCAAGAGGCTCTCAACTAGAAGTCGCTCCCAAGCCTCTTCACTACTGGGATCACCCATTTGGTTCCTTAAGACCAGGGTACCACAGACCCGAGCAAATACCCCACCCATCACGTGTCTACCGACCATATACAAGACACTAACATCCATTTTGAGCGCGAGAATCACTCGTCACCTGGACTCAAACCAGGTGATGTCGCGCGCTCAAAATGGATGTCGGGGCGGTAGTCGTGGAACCAAGGAACCACTCCTCATTGACGCGGTCATTGGCAAAGTAGTGAAACGCAACCGTCGGAACTTCTCCGCCGCCTGGATAGACTACAGAAAGGCATTCGACTTGGTGCCCCATACATGGTTAAAGAGAGTCCTCGAGCTGTACAAGATAAACTGTACAGGTAGAGACTGCCTCGAGCAGTGTATGGGGCAGTGGAGTACGATGCTTTGTCATCTGGGCAAGCGGATGATGGCTGCGGAGAACCACATAAGGATAAGAAGGGGCTTCTTCCAGGGCGATTGTCTGAGTCCAATCTGGTTCTGTCTCTCCCTGAACCCTCTCAGTACTGGAGGTCTCCGGGAGGGGATTTCAGCTACGGAAAGGAGGGACAAAAGTGACCCACCTTTTCTATATGGATGACCTCAAGTTATTCGCCTCCAGTCGCTCCCATCTTATGGAATTGCTAAACATCACTTGTGAATTTAGCATTTCTATTGGAATGGAACTGGGTACGGATAAGTGTGCGGTCCTCCATGTTGAAAGGGTAAGGGTTGCTAACTCGGAGGGCATAGACTTATCTATGCCCGTCAACTTAAGAACTCTTTCCGAGGCTGAAACATACCGATACCAGTGTATGTCACAGAACATCGGTATCGATGAGGCTGGTATGAAACAGTCAGTTTGCGACGTGTTTTATGCACGCTTGACCAAAGTGCTTAACAGCCTTTTGTCCGGTGTGAATAAGGCACACGCATATAACGGCTGGGTTATGCCTGTCCTCATGTATACCTTTGGCATACTCAGGTGGACTCAGACTGAACTTAACACCCTGGATAGAAAAGTCCGCACTACCATGACGTCCCATAGGATGCATTATCCGAGATCGTCGGTAATGAGGCTGTACTTGCCGCGAAAGCATGGTGGGTGTGGCTTCCTGAGCGCGCTCACCATGCATAATCGCGAAGCGTGCAACCTCCGTGATTACTTTTTGGCGAGACCGGATGATCCATTCTATAAGGACGTCATTTTTTGTGATAAAGGACTTACCCCTCTATCTTTAGCCAACGAGCAATGGCAAGACCCGGCAGTGCAGAGCATTTCCGACCGGGAGACCATATGGAAGGAGAAGGAGCTCCACGGGAGGTTCTACAAGGCTCTACATGAGCCTTTCGTAGACACAGTAGCCTCCCTCCACTGGCTACGCTTTGGTGATCTCTTCGGGGAAACCGAGGGTTTTGTCTGTGCAATACAGGATCAGGTTATTAAGACCAACAACTATCGAAGATACATCCTAAAGGATGGCACCGTCGACATCTGTCGAGCTTGTCGCCATCCCGGTGAGAGTTGTTTGGCGCTTTCTAACTCTGAGTACTTGTACAGGCACAATCTAGTAGCCAGAATTCTTCACCAGGGAGCTCGCTCTGAAATACGGTCTCGTGGATCGGAAATTGCCGTATTACAAGTACTTGCCGGAAGCCGTGCTCGAAAATGACCGCGACAGGCTCTATTGGGACCGGGCCATCATCACAGTCAGGACTATTCTTGCGAATAAGCCTGATATTGTGCTGATGGACCGGGCACAGTCAAGGACATTTTTGGTTGACATTACCAGTCCGTATGACGAGAACCTCGTGAAAGCCGAAACAGATAAACGAACAAAATATCTGGACCTGGCTCACGAGGTGACCGACATGTGGGGTGGTCTGCCGACCGAAATTATTCTTATAGCTTCAGGAACCAAGCTTACGCGCCGATAGTTTAGGTAATTTCTTTTTACAGTGAAAATAATGATATTTTAAAAAAAGTAAATAACATAAGCACTGCTTTATGGTTAGTTCAGTTAGTATGCAAAGTTCCATGATCTTATTTAAAGTATTTTATGAATAACAGCGGTTTATTGTTCAGTTTGGAGGTAACTTTGGATTTTTTTTCTATCGAGAAAATTTTACGGAATAGTGTTTTCGTCTAACATAAACCTTAACATTAATCCTCAACTTTACCATATATTTATTTCAAAATTAATGCTGCAATACTTTCGGCATAACGGAGGATCTTGCTAAGCCATTTGAGGCTATATTTCCTCTTAAGTTGTATGTGGTTTTCTTATCTCAGTATTTGCTGGAGAGTAAGAGTATTGTCAAAGACCCCGCTTTACCAATGCTCGTGTCTATTAGAGGTAATAAAACGACATACAATTTGCAAATAAAATATTATTTAAACTAAATTTAAAAAATAAGGTAGAATTTTGTGAAGTAAGGTTACTTCTATAGGTTTGAATACCGATTATAATAACGCATTTAAAGCGAACTAAGGTTTTTGTTACATGTTGTATATTATATTGTTACATTCTGTAAGAAAAGAAAAGTGTTCAATTACCTCCGATAGCCAAACAGCTTCGTATCTCAGGGTTTCCGGAGAGCTTGATGTGCTTTACAAAATGCAGAATAATGTCATGAGTCTGCTTAGCCAACTCCCGGGATGGGCAGATGATCAGCCCATAAGGACCTTCATTTCTGAAGGATAAATAATACCAACACATTATGTCTTCAAATGTGGTAGAGCCACGCTGTAGCTTTGTTATGGTTATAGCATAAATAGTTCGGCTCAAACGGGGAAGTATTGCACTCACACAGAATATCAGCGTAAAATATCAGCTTATCGCTGCTAATTTTGTATGATGGAAATGCCTTGTTTCCAATAACTCCGGTCCTCTACACTCACCATACGAAACACAGCAGCATAAAGCTACCATTTTACGCTGGTATTCAGTGCGAGAGCGGTCTTTCCCCGGTCCAGTCGGCCCATTCGTGCTACACCTATTCTATTAATATAACTGCAGCATGGCTCTACCACACATAAAACATTGTGAATACTGAGTATAAATTCGAGATTGTCTCTGAATACAGGCCTAAGAGTCGGTCTGGATTGGCCCTTTGTCTATTTCAGCCTTCAAGCCATTATTAAATGAAAGTTGGCCGGCATAATAGTTGGTGTAAGAAGTCGATGGATGCAGGTGGATTAGGACCGTGTTATGATATTATTTGGTAGAGTCGTATGTTCTGCCTGTGAAAGACTGTAACAATAATGATGACACGAGTAGGTTCAGGATTGGCATCTTCCTTTGACTGTTTCAGGCTCCAAGTAGCAATGCAGCTACCGTTACATCTTAGTTGGAAGAGTAAGAGAGCTAATATTTACAGAATTTGCCTTTCATTTTAGTGGCCTTTTTGTTTAAACAAACAATTTTAGAGTTGGTTACAGGTGTTAACTGCATTAGACAAATTTTTCTATAAGCTATGTTTGACCAAAATCCCAATTTATGTTAAGTGGCGACTAGATCTTAAATGGTTACCAGTTAAAGACAAAACTATGAATACTAAAAAATCTCATGATAATTCAAACTTAATTTCAGTACTATTCAATTACTTAATATGAGTTTCGTAATGCGGTGTTAAGTCAAAAACCTCTCAATATGAAGTTCAAGATGTTTAGTTGTCATCATCAGATGAATAAGTATCTATGTGGTAGGGCCACACTGTAACCGTATGCCATAATCGACGTTAAATGGCAGCATAATGTAAGTCAGAGGTAACAACGTAACTCCATTTAGACTCTTGTTGAAGGTTTTTTTTTTTTGAAAATGCATGCGGCTCACCTGATGGTAAGTGACTACCGCCGCTTATGGACAACTGTAGCTCATGGGCAGCATTCACCAGAGGTATTGCAGGTACATTGCCAGCCATTTAGAAAGGAGTAAGCTCTTCTTGAAGGTCCCTAACCCTGAGTCATATCGGTCCAGAAAAATCGCCGGTGGTAAACAATTCCACAAAGAGGTATGAGTAAGAAAACTCCTAGTAAAACTCATAGTGGTGGAAGTAGTTACGTTGTACCAGTTCTGGCGCACTGAGTCAGAAGTGGTGCAAGTACGACGTTCGTCGACTCACGATCCTAAAAAAAAAAGAAAGGTTTTGGCATGCTCTGATCACGAATCTGCGGTCCATTTTTGCGTAGGATGCACGGTTCCGGAGATGTGCAGATCAATTAACTCTATTCTAATTGATATCCGGTGAGGGCCTCCATCGTCATTAGCGCTCCATTGTTCTTATCTATTGTTCATTCAATACCGTCATTATCTATTATTCGTCAGCGTGTGCGTCGGCTCATCAGTGCTATTGTATTATACTCCTTTGTTCCTATCTACAACACTAATCTGAATCAACAATAAAAAACACATTACCTAATTTTGTTAAAATTTTTATTTATAAAATACAAAATCTTATTACTTATTATCTATAAAATAGGAGCGAAACATCTCATCCAATAAAATATCGTTTTACAATGTGTTCCCTGTAAATATACTCGTAAAACTATGCATTGAACATCCCTGAAACTTATATAGCAAATACATTAAGCAATATTCGCCACAAACTGAAGTCTCTCATTCTGAATCCTATCAACATTCCAGTTCCATCTTTTACAATTCCTTTTTAAAAACTCTAGATGATATCGTACAGGTGCTCGTCCATATAAATCAAAATATTGACCGACGACATTCGTATCGATATATAAAGCTACCCAATGTGACCCTGGTTTATCATCTGTACCCAAATTGCATATTACCTAGTCAGGTCATAAATTCTATCACATATAAAATAATTGAAACAAGTTTATTCATTATGTAACCATTTATATACCAAAATGAACTAACAAAACATAGATTCTTATGACACTATAGTTTATTCAAAATGACCTCCGTGATTTTGAATACAATCCTTCAATCTGCGCGGCCAGTCATCTATCGCAGCACGAACGAGGTCCATGTCAATATCGGCGGCTGCCTTAATCAAGGATGTCTTGAGTGACTCCAAATTGGGATGAGGCTTTGAGCACGCCTTTTCCTCCAAGTGTTGCCATATCTTGTCATCTAACGGATTCAAATCTGGACTGGAGGAGGGCCAGTCTTCGTGCCGGATGAAGTCGATTTCACGCGCCGCCAGCCATACTTGTGTGCTCTTCGCTCTATGAGCTGACGCCGAATCTTGTTGGAATACCCAGTGCCTGTTATTGAACATGGTATGAGAAACAGGTTACACAAGGTTCGTCAGGACTGTATTTTGATAAACAACTGCATTCGTTTTTAAACCTTTCTCACAAAAATGTACCTCTGTTAAGCCCCAATAAGAAACTCCCAACCATACCATGAGCGAGGATGAAAAATGACCTCTTTGAACACGCGGAATACGGTTGCTCGCTTCTTCACTACTGTGTGCGTACACCTTATCATTATGTTTGTTGTAGTTCTCTTCTACGGTAAAAAATTTTAAAAGAATTTCCTGATATTTTTTTCCCGCGTACCGCTTCAACAAAGCGCGGCATCTCTTCAGTCTCAGGTCCATTAGACGAGCATTCAAACGATGTCCTGTTTTTCTTCGATATGCCCGAAGCCCTAAGTCTTCATTTAACACCCTTTTCACCGTGGTTCTGCAGGGCCAACAGTTTCTGCTTACGATTGGGATTTCTTTAAATTCGCGTCTTCACAGCTTTTATCACTGCTGGAGTCCTAACAGACCGAGGGCGACCACTTCTTGACCTGTCATCTACACTAGAGTCTTCATTGTATCGTTTGATGGTACGATAAACGAATCTTTTGGTTATATTCAAATTTATAGTCAAATATTTGAATTGGTGCGTAACCATAACGATGCAACGCAATAACTGCAACATGGTCTTCTTTAAGCGTCCACTCCATATTTAAAAATGAGTAAAATTCTAAAAAGTATACAGTTTTATTTTCATGAACAATTCGAATTCAATAAACTTTTTTTGTGGCCAGCATTCTAAAAGAAAAGTTTTTACTGTGTGACAATACTTATGACCTGACTTAGGGATATACGTTGGTACGTGGGTGTACATGGGCAGTCTATTAGCAGCATAAACATTATTTTCTAGACTGGGGTGAATCTTTTTCAGATGTTGTTGTACATCTAGTGTATCCATGATATTACTGCTATTAGTAGATTATTACAGTACAATCTACTCAATAACTAACATAGGAATGATCAATTATAGTGATTTCTAAATATTAAATTGCATTATTTTGTGTTATACAAAACGTATTTGAGTCATCAATACACTGAACAAGACGCAACACGAAGTAATGTTGAGATAAGCAACAGAATGTGAGAGAAGCTTGTTGACGCATAAAGTTATTATCAATTCCACTGTAGAAATTCTTTAGATTAGAATTATTACTTACTGGTACTATATAAGACCAAGCAACTGCAGTCATGGATCTATCAATACTACATTTGTGTTACTTCAACGCATCAAAGGCCATAGATGTAAGTGTTTAATCTATTGACAAACTTACTTTTCTTTCTATTATTTTCTTACGTGTGTATGGTTTAGTGTTAACAAATTATATTTAAATATTGTGTGTGTATATGATTAAGCCGTGGTAGCTCAGATGGTTAGCGCAAGCTGTAAATTTCACAGTACGCGACGCGGGTTCGATCCCCGCCGGCACCAATTAAATTGTTAATTGCAATTTTAAGTGTTTATTCTATTGACAAACTAACTTTTCTTTCTGTTATTTTCTTACGTGTGTATGATTTAGTGTTAACAAATTATATTTAAATATTGTGTGTGTATATGATTAAGCCGTGGTAGCTCAGATGGTTAGCGCAAGCTGTAAATTTCACAGTACGCGACGCGGGTTCGATCCCCGCCGGCACCAATTAAATTGTCCACCACCATCTCCGGAACCATCTTCGGAACCGTGCATCCTACGCAAAAATGGACCGCAGATTCGTGATCAGAGCATGCCAAAACCTTTTTTTTTAGGATCGTGAGTCGACGAACGTCGTACTTTGCACCACTTCTGACTCAGTGCGCCAGAACTGGTACAACTAATACTGGTGGACCGCCAAGCATCCAGATGGTGTGGATGGTATCGTGACTTCTATGTGATGTGCGTTCGTGAAATTTGGCGGCTGGAATTATTCCAATTCCTCAAAGCACTACTCCAGTAACATCTCTTCGCTGCACCAGTGAATAGTGTCGATCAGAAAAAACTCAGTCGTAGAACATTCGAGCCGCTCTGCGCTGGATGCAGTCAAGTGGAAGGAGCTGGCACTTGGGTGGCCCAGAGATGAGAACAGTATTCCATGTGTGACAGAACATGCGCCTAGTAAAATTGCAAGCGGTGTGCAGTGGTAGATGTGTCTATGGGACAGCATTAAATAACAATTATTATGAGCTCTTTCTTGATTAATGTACGTATTATAATTTTCCAATACAATGTAATATTGTTCTATGGAATAAAAGACTATGACTATGTATACATTTTCCAGAACTCTACCAATGCTGCGAGGAAAAAATGAAATTTAGAAAGCCTTCTCACCTAATAAATGGCATTTTTATCTCCTGTTCAAGACACATCATGATGATAGGCAGAATGAAAACAAGGGTCTTCCCAGAACCAGTGAAAGCTATACCAATCATGTCTCTTCCACTCAGAACTGCTGGAATACCTTGGACTTGGATTGGTGTAGGTTTCTTTATGCCTTTTTCTTCAAGACCTCGAAGGATACCTGGAATGTATTATTTGTTCGGTTAAATCAATCTTTATTTTTGCACATGCAAGTTTAACTGGATATGAAAAATTGGTAAATGAGTGTGATGCCACCATGATAGATTCCAAGATACTTATTATAAATTTTTAATCTTACATAGATTGTTTCTACACTAATTTGACTGACTATCTACGACTTGAGGGACATTAGTTCAGAAGATTGCCTTAAATTTTATATTAACATTCTCCCGAACGAGTTTCGGTCGACTGATACGGGACATATTTCTGTGCAGAAATGTGTAAGTGTAACGACAAGTACAGGTGCATTCCCTATTCCCTCACTCTCATTTCCGACAGGACAGCAATCAGTCACCTAACCAGGCGTAGTAACCAACGGCTTTATGTGCTTACTGAGGCATGGAGTTAAAACTTCGTCAACTTCCTGACACTGAGCTGCTACTGAAAATTTCTTGACAGGAAAACCCAATAATTGATTTTGGGCCAATCCGGAATTCAACCTGATCAGGTCTCCATGACCAGCAGTCACAATTACGACCACTATACCAAGTAGGACGGTTCCATCCATCAAATTTTATTACTACAATTGTATGTCACATTTGGATTGCTAGTATATGTGACAACCGAAGGAATAGATGTGTTATGGAGTAGAGACCACATCAAATGTAGTGTGGGATGCCTCCCGACTATATAGAGCGTCAATCTGCACAAGGTTGCTGGTAGAAAATGAATATGTGTAGTCAAAGACTGGGGCTAAGTGGTGCGCTTTGAAGCCTACGTTCAGCAGTACACTGCTGCAGGCTGATGAGGATGATGATGAACCCAATTCGACCCATATTGGCACCTCAAAAATTGTTATTTGCAATTTCGAATTATGTTTTACCTTCTTGGCTTTAAAGAAAACATTCATGCAGTGGATATTTTTTATAACGAATCAAAAGACTAAACTTTTGTTTAGCCATCTTGACCAAAACAATTAGGCTCATGACAGGAATACGATTTCAATGCCCGCACCCTGCCTCTATCCCTGCTCTTTGCCTAATGACCAATTGCTGTCCTGGTGTTCCCTCCCTAGTTCTAATGACGTCATGTGCCATATTGTTTTGGTCACATAGTAGGTATGTCTTTTATCTTTAAATGTAACAATTTTTCTTCCAACTAAGAATTATGTTTTGTGCTTTTCAAAAATCAGAGATCTAAGCCCAGCAAGGTGACATCTACTCAATTACTTTACTACCAACCTTTAGGAAACTTCATGTGTTGGAACGTTCTGATAGGTGGTGGTACATCCTCTCCCTCAACAAGGATTCGGAGTTGCTGTCTGATTAGATCATTCTTCTCTGGTGGTCGCTCAAGAATGCAGCGAGGTGGTTTCCAAGAAGTTTTAATAGGTTCTTCATACTGTATGCCTATAACGAAGTTACAATGGTTACACATAGATAACATTGTTACTTGCTGCCCATTTTTTTATAGGATAAGAGTGACAAACGGAGCACATAGTCCATCTGATGGTAAGTGGATGCTGTGGCCCATAAACATCTACATTTAACCTCGATTAAGAATCAAAATGCAGATGTGTTGTCACCCTTAAGATGGAATGTCTTGAATTGAGTAAATCGGATCTTCGGTTTTCTACACTTACCATACAAAACACAGCAGCATAAAGCTGCTATTTTACGCTGGTATTCTGTGAGAGTGTGGTCCTTCCCCGGTGAAGACAACCCATTTATGCTACAACCATAATATGGCTACAGTGTGGCTCTATCTATCACATATAAATAATTATTCTTTAGTATTAAATGTATATAAATAATTATTAATAAATATATATAAATAATTATTATTCTTTATTATTTAATAATTTCTTTTTACCATTTTGAACACAGTATTTTTTTGTAAAATAAGTGGCAGTGATAGTTACAGATGTGATGGTAATTGTCTACTGCAACCTATGGGCCTTCAATGAAGACCAAACAAAGATGAGTTATCAATGCTATAAGTAATACTAACAGGGGATGCCTCATAGTTAGTAATCACAAGTTATTAACAATAAAGAAACATTACCTTCAAAACTATTTTCTATATAAATAAAGAATATATATCTACAATCTATATTCTGTTTCCAAATATTAAAAAAAAACTTTTTGCCTGTTTGTCTGTGTGTTTGTGCACACTAATCTTCACAATGCCACAATATTTTATGTCTGCTTTATTAAAAATAGGTTAACAAAAAAGATTGGCCAATTTTGAAGTGCATTACTACTTGGCTACTTCATTAGGCTATTGGCAATTTGGCATGCAATGGCCAAACAATTAAAAATTCTGTTTTGGGTTTTGTTAAGATTTGGTTCTAGTGTAATATGTTAACAATTCAAATGGAAATATGTTATGATAATGAGATCCATATTGTGTACTCTAGTCTCTAAATCTCTGCCAATTTTATCTGACCCCGCACTTCGTTAATTGTCATAGCATAACATAAGTTAACTGATAACTACATTTTTGAAATTGGACACTACCAATATTAACCAAAAATAACAATATTATAACCATTACAAATAAAATACACTTGAAAAGCTGACTGATCCTTCTTCCTTTACCTTTAATAAAGAAATATATGCTAACTAGCAGGGGGGTTCGTAACTGCAGTTTTTTTAATTATATTTTGTTGTTATCGGGAAAATAATGCATCGCAGCTACATTGCAGCCCACTTCCTGTTTCAGTACATGAAATGAGCTGTAATGCAGTCACTATCTATGTTGCATCTTACGAATTTACAGGACAATATGGGGTAGTGGACATTTTTTACACTGCCACTACACCAAATCATCAAAATTCTTTAATATTGTTGTGCGCTATAATTAGCGCTCGGTATATGGTGGGTGATTATTAGTGCCATCTGGTATCAAGCAGCAGAAATAGGAGCATCAAGATCTTTCTAGAACTCCCACTAGCGCCGTCTAGTATTGAATGGAAGAACTAAGCTTTCTAGAAAGCTCCACACCCGAACTGTCTGCACCTGGTCGTTCGGGGGCCGCTATTTGCTGGAATATTCCGGATGTTTCCGTGGAAAAAGCCTATATAAAGCCGTTTAGGGACGGCACTCAGGGCAGTATTGAATTGGCGATATGAGCGAGGTCAATTTTGGTAATTCAATCAGCAGTTTTTACTGTCACGAACCCTAAGCTCGTAACAATATGTTCATTGATTAAATACTCACAGTGTAATGATTTAAATTGGTTTCACTACCCTTACCTTTAGCTAACTCCGCTACACCCATGAGAGCTTTGCTCTGTGCAACACTCTCGAGAATATGCTGCTCTTCTCTTGCCTGCCTTTCAGCTGCTGATAATGCCCTAGCTTCGGCTAGCCTTTTCAGTTCACTATGCTGGTCGAGAAGTGATACATTGTAGCGTCTACCCCACTCCTCTTGAGATGCTAAAACACATTTAGTTTCGTAAAACATAATAAATATTTTGAATATAAATTTTATGCAAGGATACCATTTCAATTTTTTATTTCATTAAGGGTGACAAACAAGCATGATTAAAGAGAGACATGGGTTGGGTTTACAATTCGGTCACCTGAATTTGAAGATTCTGTCACTGTGGGGGAGTCAAGGGGGTTTATCTGAAGCACCCCACTCGATTTTTTCGGCCGGAGCAGTGTCGAAGTATTTTTAATAATTTTTTAAAAATATTGGTAAATAACTAATTAATTAAGTTTTTGACGTCTCATCTGTCAATGTCATATCGATATATATTACTGATATAGTAGTAATTAAAAGCAAAAATAAACGCGATAAAATCCGTAAAAGTAGTTTTAATCATGTGTAGTGTTCGCGTAAATATAAGAAATCATTATATAGTACTGAATCGATCTAATAAATCGATATTTCACCCTAGAGAATAGAGATCGAATCTTTTTCTGTTTTATTAAGATTTGTAAAATTATTTACAATTAGTTGAATGTATCCCAACTCGTAAAGAATGACAGTTATTAATTCAATCATTCAATGTTATCTGTACTTTATTGTATCTTTTGATATTGTAAATATAAACTTTTAACGCAAATAAAAATTTCGATTTTTTTGTGAATCGATTCATCCAATTTCGATTTGAATTGATTTAAAAATATGTAAAATTAATTGCTATGCCGGCCATTTTGTTAACAGCTTTTCGTCATGCCGTTGCTTCCGAGTTTCAGAATTTTGGTGAATAGTGAAATATTTGTGGCGGCGGAATACTGCTAAATATTGCAAAGATCCTTTCTTACAAATGGTGGCAGCCATAAATTGTGTTTATAAATTAAAGTAGTTATAAAAGTTAATATTTTGGTGTTATATCAAGTGCAATAGCTAGCGAAGCAAGCCTGGGACGTGGAGCACCCCGATTAGGACAGGTTAGGTTAGAAGAGGATCGCATCCTCTTCGTGGTTATAAACCACTCAGAAGTAGGAGCCCCGCGAAAAGGGGGCTCCGTCGACCGGACTTCCTTCGACTGCACCACGTTAAGTGGCGTGGGGCTTCCGTCCCCCCACTCTCTCTCCCCATACATCAGGTTAAAATTGTCATAAAAATTACGAAACATAACCTCAAAATGAGAATTTTTAAAAATTTATAAAAAAAAACTAAGCACGTCCGGCAGAAAGTGGAAGCAGAGGGTGACTCTACAACTCCTCACCCTCCCCCCCACACCATCCCCCACCCACTAATTCAGGCGACCAAATTGTAAACCTTACACGGACACCTTAAGGGATTCGTTTATTATACTCTGTAACCCTTTTAATTGAAAATCTAATAATATGTGATAAATATATTAAATTTGTTTATAAAAAAAACTAAGTTTACTCACCGTCATCATCAGGATCATTGTCGCTAGAGCTTTTAGTCTCTGCTGCAGCCTCCGCAGCAACCTGTCCAAGCCTTCCAAGCTTTAACAATTTCTGTTTTTTACGTTCTTTTACTGGAATGTAAGGTTCATAATTGTCAACATCTTCTTCAGACTCTGAAGACTTCTCGTCGCGCCTATAACGCTTTATCGGCAGATTATTGTCCCCCGTCGTATTGGACATGGTTGCCTTTATTATTTTATAATATCAATAAATTATTAGTCATGTTTTCTTAGCTAAAATTAGCTAAATTTTTATTTGTACACAAATGACTCAAACATAACCAAAAATTAATTATATTTTTAAACTATTGACATTTTATTATTTTAATTAATTAAAATTTTTAGCTTGAATACTTGTCTTTTAAGTCATTTCTGAATTATTTCATTCAAGATCTTCGTTTTTATAATTTTTTTCTTCACAATATGCTGATGCGTCTGTGCGTCACAATGTGAAGTTTTTGGGAGATTTTATGACTCTCTAGTACTTAGTCAATAATCTATGTTTTATGACAGTTCAATTCAACCCAGCGTGCAGTAGGAGTGGCCGTTACAAAACGTAACTAGTTACTGAAACTATCTATTCACACAATAGCGGGTAGCGAGTTATTGCAGTGCAACAAAACTATATATTACTGTAGATGTTTTACTTATAACACGTACTATGTTTACTTTCACGTTTCACGAATCACGAACGAGCGATCAGTAACAATACAGCGCTGTGAAGTAGATCCCAAACTAACTAACTCTTTACGCTGTGGTAGAAGTACCACCGGTCGTCGAATGTCGAGTGAGCGCGGGTGCTTTTGCATTTGACCTATGACTCTATTCCCTTCGTATAGATGCGATATTAGAAATGAGAAAATAAGTGCGAATTCAAATTCCATAATTTAAGTGGCATTGGCCCAGTTTAAATTAGTCTTGTGTTTAAGTTTAATGACACGGTTTGTTTTTACTTTTTAGGCGCGTTTGTTAATATTTTTGTGCAATAAATAATAATATTTTTAGTAAAATAAGAACTAAATACAATTGTATATATTAGTGTTAATAATAATAATTGTACAGTAATTAGTGTAAGTAACTAAGTGTAAAAATAATACTAATTCTATACAAAACGGTAACAAACAAGTTTTCCCGTGAAACGGACATCATTTCATTCGCAACGTTTTTCAATTAAACACGTCGTGAAACACTCTATTGAAGACTCTATTAAAATAGAGTGTTTCAAAACCCTCTATTTAAAATAGAGTGTTTCAAAACCCTCTATTTAAAATAGAGTGCTTCAAAAGCCGCTATTGATATTCGATTGATAGTTTCGTTTCATTACTCAAAAAAGCCGCTACTACCCACCGCTCAAGTTCATAAGGCACAATCAAAATAACTTGAGGTTAAAGCACTTGTTTCGTCTCTAATAGTTCACATGCGCAGGCACTTAATACACAAAATTGCATCAATTTTACGTACTACTTGCAAAGCAATATTTAAACGATAAAACAGGAGCAACAATCCGTCAACGGTCAAGTTCCCGCCAAAACACTCATACTATTCAGAGTAGAACAGAGTGCTCTGTGCACTTAATCGCTAGAATGCTTAATAAATTAACGCTTAATAAAGTCGAGTTAGGCTGTTAATAAGCCAGCAAACAAAAGTACAAAAAAAATTGCGTTCTCGCTCTGTAATATGAATGTTTGATTGTAACAATATTTTTTTTTCTTTACTTACTAAATCTATATACATATATAAGTGAAATACCAATGACTGACTGACTGGACTCATCACGAGATCTCTAAGACTATACGGGTGTATATTGACTTAAATTTTAGTATACTCATTTCGCAATGTAAACTCTCACTAAGAACGGTTTTACAAAAATCTTATAATTTTTTTTTAATTTTTGAAAAAGAATGTTCTACAGCTGTACTGTGTGACGATGTCGAGGATTGGTGTCGCAAATGTACAAGTTGTGCGGCTGTGAAGGGGCCTCAGACTCGTAGTAGAGGAGCATTGAAATTGTACAATGTTGGTGCACCATGGGATAGGACAGCGCTTGACGTTGCGGAGCCGTTTTGGAAAGGTGCAAGAGGTACTCCTAAGATCGTCCATGTGGATCGACTGACGCGTTATTATGGGGCCGATAATGCTCGGGACAAGCATGTCTTAGGAGTGGGCAGTGTTGCGCGCCTAAAACGCTAATGATTCTTAAGGGAGCGATAAAAAGATTTAAAAATAGTTTAGTGCACGAAACTGACTAACTTTTGTACACTTAACTATTTTACTAAAATATATATATTTATTTTTATTTTATTAATTTATTTCAGATAACATATGATCCATATCATTAAAATTGATTGATTTAAAAACATTAACTAATTGACAATAAATAATAATAACATGTCATTAAAATACAATAACTAACATATAAACATATAAAAACAATAATAAGTAACAACATAATTATTATTTAGTACCTTCTCACTCCCACAATTACTGGGACATGTTTGTCGCAGCAATGCCGGAGGTATTATACAGTCAAATCTGTCTCCAATCATTATAAACAATCAATATCGCAGTGGGCGTATCCCCTGATAATGTTAAGTCAGAAACACGCTCCAGTAAGGTGGTTGATGCCTAAGATTACGGGTCCAGCTTTCGGTCCCGGTCTAGACATCATACACACACACACACACACACACACACACACACACACACACACAGACGGACATAGATTTTGTGGACTGTATATTAACTTTACTTTCCCTAACTTATAGGGTCGTAATTGCGAAATGAAGCAGGAATTACTTTTAACTGCTCTGGGAAATGTGATAACTTTCACTTATTACTTTTCACTATTTCCGCTTTTCTTTCTAGCTTATAATATTGTTGCATGAATAAGTCAACTAGCGCCATCTAGTGTCAGGAACGAGAGCGAGGGGAGCATTGAGAAAATGACATCACAAATCGCTCAACTGACAGCGCCTAGTCGAAACTCGAACGCTCGGTACCTTCCGCGTGTTTACTTGAACATTCTGGATATTTCTTTGCTAATTCAAATATATAGGCGCTGCAAGATGCGATCGAGGCAGTAGAGTTGAACTCAGCGACACAAGCGAAGCTTCGGAGCGGAATTAGTGTGTTTAATTATTTGTGTTTTTAGTTTTAATTTGCGTAAAGTAAATTAAAGTGTTAATTTAGGTAATTTTATCGGCAATTTTTATTGTCACGAACCTCAAGCTCGTAACAATTGGTGTCAGAAGTGGGATAAAATCATGCCGATTTTACCTAAGGAGGAAACGGAGGGTGTCCGAACCCGAAGTCAACGCCAGCAGGAGACGGACCAACGAAGATTTGGTGGTGCAACGCCGCAGACGTCGGAGGGCCAGCCACCGGCTGAAGGCCCGTCGGTAGCTCCTACATCTGCAGCACCTGACTTAGGTGCTCTGATGGTGATGCTGCAGGAGCAGGCTCGCCGACAGGAGGAGCAGGCTCGCCGACAGGAGGAGCAGGCTCGCCGACAGGAGGAACAGGTCCGTCAGTTGAAAGAGCAGCTGCAGAGCGGACAGGAGGGACAGGCCCGCCGATTGGAAGAGCAGCTGTGGGGCGGACAGGAGGAACAGGCCCGCCGACAGGAGGAACAGGCCCGCCGACAGGAGGAACAGGCCCGTCGTTTAGAAGAGCAACTCCAACGCGATAAGGAAGAGCAGATGCTCCTCATGAAGGACCTTCACGCTATCTTCGGAAAAGAGATACGGGAGGTGAAGGATAAGGTTGCTCAACATGACAACCGCCTGTCGGAGGCCGAAACCCGAATCGACCAAGTAAACAATCGGGTTGACAACGTAATGGCTGACGTGAAGAAAACGCTGGACGACCTCAAACTTGGGGATGGAACAACAGCTCCCGTAGTAGCTACAACACCTTCGCTACGTGGATTCAAAGTGCCGCCGTTCGACGGGACCTCTTCCTGGTCGTCCTACAAAATCCAGTTCGAGGCCGTCATGGAGGCAAACGGCTGGAATAAAAGCCAGGCCATGACTGCACTCACCTTAGGCCTGCGCGACCAAGCCTTAACTGTGTTGGAAGCTCTCGGTAAGAAAGTGACCTACGAGCAGCTCCTTGAGGCATTGGAGGCAATATGGCGACGCTCACCTGGAACACGTCTTTCGTGCGCAGCTTAAAGATCGTGTGCAGCGCATCAACGAAAACCTGCAGCAGTGGGCTCTAGAAGTGGAGAAGCTGGTGCGAAAAGCATACCGGTCTGTACCTGCGCTCATTGAAGGGAACCTGGTGCAGACATTCATCGACGGCATCCGCGACCTGGAAGTCAGAGCTGCTGTGAGGCTCGGGCACCACGAGACGCTTAAGGACGCCTTGGCCCATGCACTGGAAGTGGAAGCCGTGCGGCAGGATCATCGTTCCCATCGCGTCAGGGAGGTTGCAGCAGCTACAGTTCGCGACCGCAACAAAGGATACAGCCCAAGGTGCTATGGCTGTGGGGAAAAGGGCCATCTTCGATCCAGCTGCCCTAAGCGAACCCTAGAAAGGGAAATTGAACGATCTCAGGAGGGTAGTGCGGCCAACAGCACCGCCCAGCAGCGGCAGGGAAACGAGTAAAAGCCAGAACTGCGGGGCGGGTGCTGGCTGATGTTAAAAGAGCCCCAAGGATCTCGATCTCACAAACCCATGATGGGAACAGCCTAATCATAAAGGGCGAGATCAACGGAATGCCGTGTAAGCTGACCATAGACACTGGAGCCTCTCGTACGGTTGTTAGTTCCCAACTTATAAGTCAGTTCCTTGGGGACTCCGCATACAACCGAGAACGCCTTAATTTGGTAACAGCCACCGGTCAGCGTATACCCGTCCGTGGAGAGAAGGAGATGGAGTTGAAGCTAGGCAACGTGATCTACCTGCATAATGTCATCGTGGCTGATATAATGGACGACTGCATCTTAGGCCTAGACTTTATGAGGAATAATTGTTGTGAGATCGACGTTAAGCAAGGTGTTTTGAAATGTGGACAGGAGGAACTTTTTATGGAAGGTGCGTTACCAGGGAACGTGTACAGCATCAAGAAGATTGTTCTTCCGCCGAGATCGGAAACGATTGTTCCGGTTAGTCTACCTCGAAACGCTGGGCAAGCTCACCGTTGTGTACTTGTGGAAAGGGTAAACAATGACCTTCCAT